CTCAAGACACTGACCCGGGAGTGCCCGAGGCCACTAAGTCACTAAGTGTCTATGGAGTTTGGGCTTGAGGGCTCACAACTCGGAGGTAAGGTTTGGCAAAAACCCTCCCGAAAATGTGAAACCCTGCTGCATTGTTCAAAGAACTATTGCCCGATTGTCCAGTTTTCTTTGCATCATTACTCCTGTAAATCCTGAGGTTGAGTGGTGGATGAGACTGGGTCCTGGGAAGCTTAGCATCTGCAAAAGGTCTTATGGTCTAGGACTTAGGCTACAGCTGTGGAGGTTCAGGCTTTAGATGTTGATTTCTCCCTCACAGTGTCTCCGTTTGCTTCGTTACACCGCGCAGGGCCCATTGGCAACGCCTTTGGTTGCGGCTCTGATATTTGAAGCTAAAGCACCTGATGGGAAGCTGGAGTCAACACTGCCAATTGGGCAAGCGCCCCTGGTCATCTTTACTGTTGTTGATCTTGTATGTGGGGCATCGTATCAGTTCTCAGCCCACCTGAGCGCCTTGGATCCTGACTAGCGCCGCTGCCCTGTGATCCCAAGCCAAACTCTCAAGCCACAACCACAAACTTCTAAAACCCTTGACAGGCCCCTCGTGAGAAGACAACAGAAGGTAAGTCTCGAAAGCATGGACTCCGGCTAACGTACCCTAATTTGGGAATCCGCATACAAAAACCCGAACAATCACACCCTTTTGTGGAACTACATGGCTGACAGCTGCGGGGCCAATTGGGTACAGGGAAGAACCTACGAACAACGGTGGTTTACCACATGAAGGTCTGCAAGGAATATGCTCCGAGCGTATGACAGCATTTGAGGCAAGACGAGCGCTTCTGGGGGCCCGGCTGTCTCCGGGGAGAGCCGGGAGAAGTACTGGATCCTGACTGGTCTGTGAGTTCTAATCCTAGTACCTGCACTTGATCAGTAGGGTTTGAGGGTGTGGTGATGGCGTTTGAGAGGTTTACCGGGGCTTGCATGGTCGGTTAAAGTTCAGAGGTTCAAGGGGCTTTGGGCGTTGGAGGCTGTTGGAGTTCTCAGCCAAAGGTCCTTGAGCCCACACATCTCAGACAGTATCCAATACACAGCAACCTTTGTCACGCTCCTGACGCGTGGACCCACCACATCCCATCCAAGACAAGAATTAGTCATCATTATTCCTCTGTTCTCGCATTGATTGCTGCATGTTAGCAAATGTTGGTGAAGCGCTTCGGCAAAATCTAAAAAACACAGGGGTCAAGTGGTGAAGGGAGATCCTCATTCGTGATGACTGCATCAGAAGCTGGTTAGAGTATCCTGAAACTGCCCACCCCAATCCCAAAAAATTAACACCCTCAACTTCAAGCGTTGGGTTGCTTCCCAAACGCTGAAGCCCCGACCCTGACCACCCAAAGCACAAAACTGCAGGCAGAGCTGCAGGAACTCTGGCGTCATCTGGTGCGCGTGCATCCTCAGTGCAGCAACTTATTGGAGACAAGGGGTAGTTATGAAAATTGAGGTCCTTTGGGTGAAGCAGGAGAGGAGGGGTGGGGGGGGGGCGGCGGTTGCTTCGGGTTTAAGGAGTAAGGGCAGCGGGTTCAGGTCTAGAGCTTACGATTTGTAAGGGTAGTTGCCCAAGGTGTTGGCTCAGCAAGCAGCGAGTACCATCAAGAATCCAGTGAATTCCATTGTAGAATGCAAGCCCATGTTACTGTTGGAGTGTCGCCGATACGTGCAGGCACCCTTAACAGCGCAGCATGCGCGAGTGCCAGAGGATGTCCTGAATGGATCCTTAATTTTTCTTGCTGAAGCCCAACAAGGGAAGATCCGCAGCTGTTCTTGGTGTGAGGTGGCGTGATGCCACCGAGTAGCGGGGGATGTCCGGCAACCGCTGTACTTCAGGTGTTGCAAGTCTCAAAAGCGAAGACCAGATATCAGAGGATCCTGCATGAGAAGACTTATAAAATGTCATGTACCCCAAAACTCATATATCTTGGATTTTCCTGGCATAAAAACCACCAATTATAAGCGTGTGGGCAATGATGTCACAACTAGAAGCGATCCTGATGTTCCTTGCACCAGAGCCCAACAATTTGGGGCGGGAAGCAGCTATAGCTGCGAATTTTTCAGAAGATCCTGCTTCGTCAGAGCTATAATCTAAATGCCTAGTATCCGCCTTAGTAAACCTACAATACTCCCGTATACAACCCGCTAGATAAACGCCTAAACCTTAAACCCTAATCCGCAAATAAAGGAGGTTGAAGAATCCCCTATATCTAAACCCTGCTTAAGGAGTTTAGACTATAGTATACCTGTCACACACAGGTTCTCATCAAACCTTCGACCACACTAATAGATTTCTGTATTACCACATTGCTATAGTACTATATTACGATATTACCATCTTATCATATTATTGAATAGTAATATAATAGTATAGTAATATATTAATATGGTAAGATATTACTATATTACTATATACTACTATATTACGATATTACAATATTACTATATTACTGTGTTACTACTACTGTTGCTGTTGGTATAACCATTATAGCTATTCTTACTTTCACTGCTACCATTTGGTTGGCATCTTTTAGGGCGCAGACATTACCCTCTTCAGGTCAGCTCCATCGGTGTAATGCTCCATGGCCTCAGCTACCCGTTAGCCACCAAAGTAAAGGGCTTGGGGCTTGGCATCCAGAGTTTAAGATCTACTGCTCAGGTTCTCGGGCTTAAGGTCTAGGTTTATAGGGCTGAGGGCATGCGTACACCGACATCAAATCTGGTGAGGTCAGACATGAAATGACGGTCAATGATCAGGGACCCCCATGCAACTGGAATAGCGGCTGGATAGACTACACTTAGAAAATGCAAGGAATATGAAAGATATTCCAAACGGACCTCCTTTTTACATGGCTGTGGGATGCAGAAGATCTGAGATTTTGGTGATTGAAGTCCTAGATAAAAGCCTCTTCCGCAAGAGTTTGCTCCAGGATTGCGTGGCCCGGTATCCCGCTGCGGGCCTGCTGACACTTGGCTTGTAGGGTCTGAATGGCGAGCCTGCACCACGTGAGGGATTCCAGAAACTGGCAGGGATCCCTTTGTGGGAACTACAAACTATATTAAGTATTGGCGGGGAGGAAGGTGTAGAGGCTAAAGGGTGGCAGACCGACCCCAATTTTTGGAAATACCCGCATCAAACACGCAGATTCCGCGTCTGAGCCACCAGCCCACTGCATAAGGCCAGCCTTCTCGCAGAGCTGGCCGATGTAGGCCCGGTCGTAGTGCGTGAACATATTCCTGGTACCAACTTCAGGCTCAAGGCTGCGCGTTGGCTGGCACGAGTGCCGTGTCTCCCTTCGTGTTTGGGGTGTGGGCTGAAGCAAACACACTAAAACCAAGGCAAGCAAAGCCAAACATCTATCAACGCTTCATGCGGTTTGAACCGGGATCGTATAAGCCGTGTGATGGCCTCATTTTTGTGTAGACATGGTGTTAGAGCCTTCTGCCACAATGAACCGTGAAGCTGACAGAGACGATCATTGCAAAGCCTAAACCCTAAACCCTAAACCCTAAAGTGTGATCACATGTGATGGAAAGGAAGTTTCCTAGAAACGGAAGGACCTGCAAGTTGAGAAATCTTCAAGTTACTAAGGACTCATAACAATCCTTGTTATAGGTACACCAAAAAGGCCCCCGATTGCAAGTTTAAGAAACCTCCAACTCGTGTCGGGTCCGCATCTGAAGGATCGCCTCAGCGACCTTGGGCGCCTGCCTTGCAAATCAAGGGGAATAATGGAGAAAGCAAATTCATGGAAGCTGTGCTTACAAGGATGCATGCAGCTTCGGGTTTGGAGGATGAGGGCTAATGGTTTGGAGTTTAGGGCTTCTACTTGGGGGTTCATGGGTAGTTGTAAGCAGAGTTAAAAACTGCCTCACGGTGGTTGCAACGATTGCACTCCGAAACTTCTGACAACCCATGAACCTACAAGTAGGGTCTGTGGGAGTAATGGGTCATGTTTTTTTAATTCTCAGGATCTCGAGTTTGTAGGTTGGGATAGGTTGGAGGTTCTGGCTAAGGTGTTGCTTCTCAAAACAACGGGATATTCTAGGGGACCATGGACAAATATAAGGTCATGCACGGACCATGTTGATTAGCTCCCTTTCATCTTTGGTATCAAAAAAAGACCCTGAGTCTCATAGCAACCCCGATCCAGAAGCTTCAGCAAGTACCGGCAAGGACCACGAGCGACTTGACATGGCAATCGACCCCAATCCATGAGGGAAAACGTCCAGTCCAACTGCCCAAAAGCCAAAGTCCTAGTTGTACACCAGTACACCCAGAGTTCCGTGGCATCAAACCTTCAGAGTCTGCAGGACTTTCAGGAAGATTAGGACACAAAAGCTGAAACTGTTTTTTCCAAAATATTGCAGTCCAAGCCCGTAGCGACTGCCCCACACCAGCACTAATCTTCAAGTAGCAAGTTGTTCCTATAACCCACAACAATTTGGGAAGAAGGGTGGGAAGTCCGCGACTATCCTCATAGTATAATTACAAAGAACCAGCTAAGAATGCCATCTGACAAAAATTGAGCTTGCCCTGGCCCCATCAAACCTTCTGGTATTCTGAGGTTGGCTGCTGAGTGAAGAACAACCGAGTCGGAACCCCTATCCGCAAAAGCGGATATGCGTGACTTGCTTCATTGTTTGATCGCTAGGCTGCCAGACGACAAACTTGGGACAGTTGAGTACCGTAGATTTGAGGAAGCTCAATGCGTCTTACGCGTGTTTTGGGGCCGCCGTGCTGCTAGACAGCCCCGTCTTGATCACAGCTGAATAACCAAGTCACTGCAAGTTCATGGCCAACAGCTGCGTCTGAGCAGAGGCAAGAACCACTTGGGACAGGTTCCGAGTTTGTAGGGCTGTTGGTCTGGGCCTTGCGTGGAGGAACTTTAGTGGGCATTGCCATAAGGGGCATCACAGTTTCTGTTTAGATTCATTCCCTCATGGCCCCAAAATGTCTTGCACCTCGCAGGGCTGGAGGTTTGCGCTTGCGGAAGACAGGTTAAATTGACCCTTTTCTATTTATCTCCTCTGGCTAGACATCATTTTGGATTTGGCTTCGGGATGCTCTTTCTGGGGGCCATCCACCTCTTGAACCGGTAACAAGCTTGAAGAGTCCGCCACTCAGGGCTTGTTGAGGAGGGCTTCCTGACCTTTCAGTGGGCTTCTGAAAGAGAGAATGTATCCTGACATGGCCAGATAAATGTCTTCCAAAGAACTTGAAGCCGTCTTCCATGTGAGCAACACATGTTCGAGCGTGGACACACTGAACTCCTTTGCTAATCCGTCTCATTTGGCCACAAACATGCCCAGGTCCAAAATCTGATTATCAACATATAACATGAGGATACACCTCTGAACTCCTCCAGTTTCAAAAGCCCGCGCACATAAGCTGCAAGATTAAATAGTACCACATGAGCCCACATAACCTCTGATCATCCAACCCCTTTCTTTATTCTATGACTAGAGGCCCTGCAATGCTCATGCTTGCGCTGTCCATGAGAATCCACAGCGCAAACCCTACTACAAACGCTACTACACCCAAAATACTATTCAACTCATTGAGGCTACAGCCGCTTGGAGTTTCGTGGGGCGCTACACGTGGGCCCATTTCGTGGGAATTCTCACGGCAAGGATTACAGAGCATTGGGATCTCTATTGGGTCCTGCTATCTGCGGAAATCAAGGCGTTGTTTGGTGCCATTCTGCCAGTCTGCGCGTAACACCACTTACAACTGCCCATGAACCTCCAAGTAAACCAAGAACGCCAGAACCTCAGCCCTGAAATCCTAAATCTGACGGTCTGCACCCCGACCCTGAACCTTGAATCCATAAACCTAAACCCCCAAATCCCTGCAACCCTACTTGTGACACATGAAACTACCCTTCACCATTAAAACCAACAACTTGTAAAATGAATCTGAGCCTTGATCAAACCCTGAACCCTATACCCAAGGACCTAGTCAAAACATCTGGGCCTGAAGCTGACCCTGCTCCGGCTTGTTTGCCTTTACCAAGACACAGGGGCCACGGAGGAGGGAAGAGTTGAGATTTTTGGGTTTGGGGTCCATGCGGCAACGGCTTTCGGATTGAGCGTATGAATATAACACTTCAGGCCTTTGGGCTTGCAGCTTCACCTACTGCAAGCTTTAGGGCCTACACTGTAGGGTTTGGGGTTTAGGCACCAACACTTCTATCCCCGACGCCAACAACATCATCACCAGCTGAATCCACAATCGCGTTAAATCCTCTGGAAAACGACGATAGTTAGTGCCAAACATCTCTACGGCCAGGTTGGCCAACACTGTAACTTGCTGATCTAGACTTTTGGGCTTCTGGAGTCGTGGCTTCGGGTCCTGAAGGCCCCTTGTTGGAACATCTGGCAGCCTTGACGTCCAAATCCCCAAAACCAGCACCCGCTGAAATTGAAGTTGCCTAACTCTAGATTCCAGAAGCCCGACCCTCTGGCCTTGAGAGCATCAAGCATGATGGAGGTTGTCTCCTGCAGACGGTTCTGATCCATGAAGACCTTGACAACCTGTTCAGGTCGCAGGTCAGGGGCGAAATTCATTCCGCACAACAAACGGTTATTTCTCAAAAGAGGGGTAAGCTTTGGCATCCTTGGAGCACAGGGCGTGTATTTCAAATTGGAGTTGGTGGCGTCTAAAGATCACAGAACCACGTACTGGTCATTTAAGAATTCCGAGCCTGACATAGATCTCAGTAGGAAACCCTAACCATGCACGCTACTTTGATGCAGCATGTCAGGAGCATCACTGGTTGACAGAACCGTTTTGTTGAGCTCAGGGCTGCAACTTCCGTAAAAGCTAAACTCCTCCCGTTAGGGGAAAGGAACACGCCTTGCTGAAAACAGCCAACCTCCGAAGCTCAGAAAAGTCTGTCAAGCGCTAATGCTCCCAGCAAAACTGTCACTACATGCACTACCGTCTTGCTACCATGCTCGGACTTACTCAAAATTGTAGCCCACACTTTCAGTCCAACTATTTATGGTTTCTTCTACTCCCATGATCATGGCCATCCTTACTTCGGCATTTGTCCAAACTTCTGTTCTTACTAGACTTGCTAAACACAAGGAAATTTGCAGAAGGGTGCCTGGTTGATGTCAATCAGCGGCACGCCGTTCTGTCCCTTTGGGCAGCTCTCATCGTGGGTTACATTTCGGAATGTCGGGTGTACGGACTTCGAATTTAGGTCATGTGTTTGGGCTTAGGGACCACTACATTTGGGAATGTACATTGTAAATCCAGGCCCGAATCAACATGACTGAATGCTTCCCAAGGTTGGGGGACAAACAGATGATCTATCCGATGGACTGCGGTCAGAACTTCTGCGTGGGAAGTTTCTCTTGCACTTGCACTGTGTGGTGGCCAAGCTCATGCAATACTGGCAATACTGTAGGAATGCCTCATATGCTACATGAGGCACGGTGAAGACTACAATTGCTTGTCTCAATGCCACCGTCATTCTTGAAAGGGCATCCCTATTGAAGCCCTTTGTCGTACTTCCCACTGCGCAAGTTCCTTGACCTACAGGCGCGTCTCCACAGCATTTAACATAAGGACACACAGCCCCTCCTTGCTTTCAGAAGTCACTGCCATCTATCACTTTGAGCCTTGAAACTCATCCAGGCTCTCAGGAGTATCCTGTTAGCTCGAACTAATACTTAGGCAATACTTAAAAAAAAGCCCCTGGAAGGCCCCCATGACAGCAGGTAGGGGCAGCAGCATCACAAGCACTTTCCCGTGGGGAAACTCTTAAAGAGCAGTGGGCCTTACTGCGACCATGACTGGTGGCACTTGCCGCTTCAACAGTAGTTCCACAAAATTGAAACTACAGTCAAGCTTCAGGGCTAGCGTCACCGTTGGCAACTATGCACCTGGAGCAAGAGCACAAGAAGATAACTGAAACAAAAAGCCCGGGACCCCGAACCATAACCGCAAAGCAGACAGAACCTGGACCAAACTGTAAGGCCAACTCCAGTCACCTGCCTCTCTTGTTTCGACCGAGATGACAACAAGGACCTCCTTTTAAATCCCAAGATGCTCCCCATCGTAATCCTTAGCATGACCCATTCCTGCATGCCCCACTAGCAACAAGCGTGATTTTCGACGCACAGAGGTCTTGCAGCCCTCGGACCTCCAAAAGACTCTTGGCGAAGTTGGTAGCGCCCTCGGGGTTGGTGGCGACCTTTGCAGGATCTTGCGGCTGTAGCAATCTCTGATATGTGGCCTGTAACATTGGGGGTCCGGGGGCTCAAAGCCAGGATTGTTCGGTTCATTTAGGAGATAGAAAAGATGGAGCAGGGAAGCATGGTGCGTGACGACCAGGCGCCATGCATTATCAGCCTTGGCAATGGAAAATACTGTTGATGGAGGAAATCTTGCACCACCTTAAGTCCCTAAAGTCCTAGTCATTACAGTAGCCCAGGGCCCCTAGGTGGTGCAAGGTTTCATCCATCAACAGTACCATCCGTTCACAAACACAGAAGGAGAGACTAAGAAGTATCATCAGCTTGAGGAGCTGTTTGGGTTCCCAGAATCGCAATGAGTAGATTGCAGTATTTTCCAAACAAACTGCCTGCCAGGTACGGAAGCGAGATGGCCTCAAGTACCGGAGCAAGCTAGCCTTCCCATCTACAAAATGAAGGATTGCAAACTCGGCGCTTGTTAACTTTTTCGCCCTCTAATCAGCTGCTATGTTTGTGGACTCTCGCAGTGGGCAAATTGTTCTGCTCAAATGGAACCCTGGAAGTACTAGCCACAAGACTCCAGCCTGCATGAGAGCAACCCCACTTCACAGTCGTCCTGCTGCTCATGCCTCCGAACCGCTGCTCTATGTAAGGCCCTTTGCTGCAGTCCTTTTGCCATTCTTCCAAAAGCCTCCTACTTCAATAGTTAACACAGGGATGTCTAAAAGCAATCATGGGTTTGTATTTCAGGGCACCTATCATGTGGTTCCTGATATTGCAGGCCGTCCAGTACTGTAGTCTCGGTAACCCTGACTCGAGAATAAGTGGCATGGATCGTACTGGAAGGTCGGATGCGACTCAAGGTACCGGAGACCACGCAACGATTCTGAGTGAAGATCTACTACAACGAGACCTAAACTCTTAGTCTTTACAGACATGCAACAAAAAACTCGGCTTCGGGCCATGTTCTGCAGCAGCTGGGAGTAATCGGCCTGGTAGCCAACCCTCTTGACCTGGGCAGCTAGGTTCTGCCAAGGGCTGTCTAGGGGGAGTATATGCAACCTACACCCACCAAGACCTGCTTTAAAGCAGGCATTGCTTGAAAATGCGGCTTCCAAGAGGAAAACTGGTTTGTGGGAGGCAAAAAAAAACCGGTTTTCCACGGCGGGTCTTTGCGGATTGCATACGGGCTTTGCACGCGTTTATTACGAGTTCTGAACAGGCTGGAAATTGGAAACCTGGCTTTGGTTCCAGAAGCAGAGCTTCTCACAACACATACTTAACAACCCTGATTCCTTCGGACTCACCTGCTTCAAAGCAGGTTCTGGAAGCCTAGGAAGCACATGTGGGGCATGTCGGCCTTTGGCTGTAACAGGATCTCAACCGACGGGTACAGGGACCCTACAGATGGAGATGGGATTAATGCAGAGTTAAGCGGGTTCTTCTTGAGGATGCCTAAGGGTTGTCATGGGCGACCTCAGGAGTGGCCTGGTGACAAGGGAAGTAAGATGCAAGCCTTCTCAGGTAATTGATAAGTGCGGCACCTGACGTTTGGACCAACAACTGGGAGACAGACCATTTTGGGAACTGCCTAAGCGCAAAACCTTGGACATTGAGCCTGAGCCTGAAATCCAGACTCAGGATTCCAGGGGTTCGGAGGAACTTGCGAACTAATGTTGCTGAGACCGATCAAGCAGAGGCTCGTGTAAAGCAGCACCAGGAAGAGCCCCAGGGCTTGGGGCAACAAAATGACGCTGCAGGACGTCAGGCCGCAGATTTAGACGCAGAGGATCAGGCTCAGGGATGGGCATCGGAACAGCAAGTTCTGCAGACGTTGGGCATTTTGGATCTGGTATTACGTTAGGTACGACAGGTTTCAGAACTCGGCAGCACTTGGAATCTGGCGAACTCTTGCAAGTCGGAGAAAAACTTGGATTGGATTAATTGTCCTCTTCACATAAGATCGTTCCATCACTGCTACTTTCTAGGGAGCGGGGGGTTGGGGAACTGTTCCAAGCCCATGAGATGCCCTACATGATAATGGGTATTCCAACAAAAGGGGTCCCCCTGACATACCCCAAACATGTGCTAAAGGCGATTCCTAATTGACGGCAACCCGGAATTCGATTTGGTGTTCATATGTTACATTCCACGCGCCTGTGCTGGTGATGCCCCAGCCATGCAAGCTCTTATGTGTACGTGGGGAATCATTTAAGTCAGTCCGCGCGGAGATGAACGTGTTGCTGGCTGCTGATCACCTCACCGCCCACTTACGTTTCCCTTCCCACTTCTGGAAATGTTGCTCACTGGGCTGTAAACCATATCTCTGTACAAAGCACTCTTGAATTACCCGGGGAAAAGCCAGCCTCAAGACACCAAAACCTACAAAGGAACACAAGCCCCCTAAGCTGCACAAAAAGCCCTACACCTGACAGTTCTTTACCATAAGCATTTCAGGCGATGGCATAAGCCACGATCTGGTCGATCTGCCCAAGCTCCACGAAGCATTGGATGACCTGCACAAACGTCGCAGGATCAGCGTCAAGAATGATAATGCTAGAAGCTATAGCACCACAAAAAGAACAAAACTTATCATCAGCAGCGTAGCTATGTTAATGGTCGGAACACTCATAGTGACCAACAGGGCTATTGTCAGAAGAAAGCTGTATCTGAGAATGCAGGAATATCTGTGTCATGTGTGTATTGTTGCTCTGTTGGCGGCTTGTTCCTTTCTACTGCTCTCTTGCCGAGGAGGTTCACTTTGCATCTGTTTGGCATTCCAAGGATGCCGCGTGTCAGCCTTGTAGCAATCACTTTTTGTTTGCATTTTCTTCAGCTTGAACAGAGAATAAAGGAAAATAATGAAGCACGCATGCGAGACAATGGAAATCAAAAAGCTTCAAAAAATGTATTGGAAAGAACGCGTGGATACTGAAACGCCATGATCTTCCTTTGTGAGTGATTCGTTTGACCATAGACCCCAACACCATGAAATCCTCACTTTCCTAGCCAGTACATCTGCATCCAAACTGTACCAAGATTTTGTTCAAAACGTGTGCTAAGGGATCCCTGTGGGGATTTGTCACGTCCAGGTAAAAGTTAGACGTCCCTCAACCTTATAATCCTGAAGGTTCTGACAACACTGCACACGATCTGCCTTCTGATGGACGTGCGCACGGAGGTAAATGGACAGTGCAAACCTGAGCCGCTGATATTTCGGAATTGTGACCGGGGTTGAAGGCTCAGAGCTTTCGGTTTAAGGTTTGGACCTTTGGGCTTCAGGTTAACAGGCCTAGTCTGGATGTGCATCACTATTTTGAGGCATTTGGAACCTCAATCTGGCAAAACTCCCAGGACTGAATATCAAACAGCACTGCCTACCTCCCAGGTAGCGGCACAAAGACCCAAAAGAGACTTCCACGGACAAACGACTGCCATGATCTATGTGAGTGGTTGTCAAAGCCGGTTCCCAAATTCTGGCACAAAATACTGTGGCCCTGGATTTATAAATCGCTACATGGAATTCACGTTTTGATGCAAGTCCACCCTGAATTGCAGGTGTGCTCGCGGGAGGGTTAGAAGCAAAAGCAGAACCCAAGAAAGAACCCCCATATAGATCCAGCACCTGAACCACGAAATGCGCCAGATTTCGTAGACCTAGGTCTATGTCTGTCATGAAGCTACCCGGGGCGCAATCATGATGCCGTCGGTATACCCAAGACCAAGCCACCTTTTACAAATCCAGAGCCACTGAAGCGCCGGTACCAACACTACACAACATGCCCACATTAAGTCAAGCTGCTTCGTTTCAAGAGGGCGCACAATGTCACCAAGCTCCTCTCCCGATGCACGTGTAAAGCAAGCTCTTGCAGCTGTGAAGGTAAACAGCTGGCAGGGCAGATCATGTTCCCTAGGTTCATGACAGGGCTTCACCTATCCTTTGAGATAGCCTGTGTTCTATGATTAAAGCTCAGGAAGCCTATCACCATATCGCATGGCCGCACGAATTCAGTATGAGGTAAGGGCGCAAAGAATTGGAACACGCCGTATCTTAAACCGCAGCACAAATCCCCAAATCCCATTCCAAAACCTCTTGAAGCTTCAACCCGCAGCGCTAAACTGTACTCCCCAACTGCCGAAGTTTGGGCTCCTCCGTGCATTCCAGCTTGTCTTCCTTGAGCCATTTCTCAATGAGCTCCTTTCGGCCTGCACATGGAAGTCGCATGACGAACGGACAATGACCACATTCCCTTCTGTTTGCAAGAGGTTGGGCCAATTGCAATGCTCTGAGTTTCGAAGCAGTTTGGAAGTCATCTCTGCGTAGAACAGCGCACAGGACAGTGCTGATCAGGGCTTGATAACCCCAGTGAAGCCGGGGCCTGAAATGGCCAGGCTGCCCCGATTCAGAACTGACAAGCCTGCCCTCCATGACCCACCTTGCTGCACGACGGGCCGAACAAGCTCTACAGACTCCAGGCCATTCCTTAGCTTCTGTGACGTAGAATGTGAGTTGCAGGACCCCAAGTCTCCGGCCGGTTGGAGGACTTCAACATGCCCGACTATGAGGTCGAGGCACAGGATAAAGAAGCGTGGTGTCATGTCATGGGGACTCAGTGAGGTGTGCTGCGGTAGTTCAATGCGGAGTGCAACACAGCACCATGCTTAGTCGTGAATAGTTGGGATCGCGGGACTGCGGAGAGCAAACTAATTCTGCTGCATGTCGAGCTCCCTACAGGAGTCATACTATGGCTATCATACCTTTTTGTTCATTCCAGCCACGACTAGCACCAAAAGCTTGCAAGGTTACAAAGTTGCTGCTTTCAAGTTGAGTGTTGAGTGGAATCCACCTACGTGTGGTGAAGGTAAAAAGGTATTCCAGCGCGAAATGCCAGGAAATGTACGCCTGAAGGAGAACGGAACCGTTTGGGACAGTCTCCCTGCTTAGATTAAGGCTGTTGGGACATGCAAGGACTAGCTGAGCGAGAACCATTGTAGAATTTTTCTACAGCAGGCGTTCGAGCACTTGGGCATGCTGTAGCCTGAGTCTGCTACGCGAGTCACGCAGGAATTAGCCACATCGCCGCCCCTAAACCCTGGTTGCTGCGACTACCGACCTCAACCCTCAGATCTTGAACCCTAAGCTGATAAACCCAAGTTGTTCCTGATAAGCAGCATTGGTTGCCTTGGATTTGACTAGGGCAAGCGTCCACACGCCGGTTGGAAGACAACTTTGAGAATTTGGCCTGATAAGTGCAAACCTTGTCGACTACCTCCTAAAGGCCAACACAGAGACTTCAGGAAAAGATATACCTTGCATCATGTTAGATTCTATGACAAGGAACAAGCTAGAATCTGCATGGCGGGAACAGAACCTTATGGTAATAAGGGGTTAGGGGCCTCTCTGTATTTGAGCCGAGGGTCAGCTTGTTGTGCTCCAGCAGGGTGGAGAAGTAGTGCAGAATTGGGGAAGACCTGACTTGGCTACTTGTTGCACATAGACCACCTGAACAACTAATGCTATAGGGTGTTTAGGTAACTTCTTACTCTTGGTCATACGATGGTGCAGGGATATCACTCCTGTCTGTCCGGTTGTTCGATTGAGGGTTGAGTCTTGGAATCTTGAGCTTAAGTGTAGGGGTCGGGTTGGATAAGGCATGAACGTTTCCCAGATAGGCCGGAAACTGGCAGTCTTCAAATGAAAAATGAGGACCCGAAAGGCCCAAACAATCACAACATGGAGCCAAGGTTTGGGGTTGACTTCGGAAGTTTCGCATTATTTGCAGGGGCGGATCATTCGCTTTAAGTCGGCAATAGCAGGGTGCTAAGGCTTTGCCGTTGCCCTTTTTTCGGATTACATCACGACTTTCTTGACTCTCTGCTGGAATTCTTGATATTTGGATTCCAAACAAGAACCCAAAATGCGAGCAGCTGGGCAAGGATGTATCTTCATGCTACTACCACCATCAGTCACCATACACGTACTTCATATCAGGAACGCTTGTAGCGCAGAATCGACCTCGAATCAAATGAGTGCCTCGAAGGACTCACCGTCCATGCACCCTTTCTTCTGATTCTGGACAAGAACACAAGACCGAAGATCACCAGACGGTGTAGTCAAGCACAAAGGGAGCTCAAAAATCGTGCCAGCATGCATCTCATCTTCCTACTTCAGGGCTTTGAGGCAAGCTCAGGAAAATGGGGGATGCAACCCAAAGAGCCTATACCTGTTTAATTTGAGTTAACGTTTTTCGGGGTTTTGGGCTTTGGTCTTGGGGGTTACGGGTTGATGGGTTCACGGGGTTTGTGGGTTCAGGCCAGGCGCAACCGCTGCACAGGAGCTTTCAGGTTTGGGCCTGTACTTGCACGGCTACCCAGCACCTAAAACAAAGGCGCTAAGTCTACACCTGCTTCATATCTCAAAATACAGCTGCTTCAAGTCACAAGAATCGACCCTAAACCCTGCACCTGCAAGCCCACACATATCAAGGAGAACAAAACTTCAAAGGTGCCGGCTGTCCAGGTGGAGCCTGCACGCTCTTGAACTGCCTCAATTGGGCTGGGACATGTGAAGGTTTCTCGAAACAAGCCCTACGTACTCGGCCCCTGAGGGCCCCTGGTGTTGGGGAACTCTCATGTTCAGGGCGTAGGGCTTCTCTCAGACCAACCATGTAACTAATCCGAGAAGGTAACTGAAAACAATGACAGGTTGTACCCAGTTTCCTGCACCCAGCCATAAACTACATCGCCTTCTGGTTTGCTGTTGCGGGATGGATTTAGGACTCCTGGGAAATGGTTGGATCTCCTTGCGATAGAAATGATTTCTCAGAGCTTGTTTTTTAGAAGTTCCAGTGTAGGGCGTAGGGTTTGGGATTCAGAGCTAGGGCTTCGGGGGTTTTGTGGTCTAGTCTAGGCCTAGGCCCCATACATGCCTAAAGGTGTCATTCCGAGGGCTCTGAAGAGCGCCATGGTTTGGGCTTTTGCTTCACCACTTCAGGTTTAGGAACCTTTACAACTTAAAGCGAACGCTCGATAAGATCTGCCATGGGCTCTGTTAGGAGTTCAGAAGGTGCGAGATAAGATAAACCTAGCAACAAGTTATTAAAACGGCAAAGCGGGCTTCAGGGTTTCGATCAGAAGGATAGGAGGTGGTTTCCTTGGACCTGGGGAGGGTATGCCAAACAATCGTCGGCTTCTAGCTTGGCAGTTTGAGTCAGCATCTGGACTTGGAATTCTATCGGGCATTGCAGCAGCACAGTGCAAAGAGAAGTTGGAAACCAAGGCTCGCCTCCCTCCAGTAATCTATGGGTACTTCAGAAAATGGGAGCCCCCATGTGCCACAAGAACCAATACGTCCCCGACGTCCAAAGCAGCCAAAGGAGCTGCGAACGTTCTGTGTGGGTAGTTCTCAAAAAGATGTCCCGTACAATCCTGAAAGATTGCCCCGAATCCTCTCATGATCCGTCTCTCCCTGCGCTCTCCCAAGGGCCCACATACCATCAATCCGTCTGCGAACACACTCCCAAAACCCTTGAGGCCAGCTGCGATTAGTTGGGTGGTCTAGAAGCTTTCAGCTGAGGGCTGCAAGAGTTTAGGGATTCAGTGTAGGGTTCTAGGGTTTTGCCATGGGCAGAAAAGAAGCCGCCAAACCCTAAACCCCCAAAAAAAGAATCCAAGATGCTGGATGGTCTGAGGAGTACGAAGAAGGCCACTCTTGCACTGGGCAGCGATAAGGGCAGCGCCTGCAATCAGGGTGCAAGGCTTATTTGGTGTTTGGGAGGTTTGGGGCTTGGAGATACTGGAAATGCGTAAATCTGCGCAGGTCAAAGACACTTTGGCATTCGCTGCCAAGAGCTACTTGCCAGACAGCCTTCAAGAACATCGCACAGGAGACGTTTAGAAAATTGGGGAATGGATTAGGTCATGGAAGACTAGTCTCGTGTTGACCCTAGATCCATGAAGTCTCAAACACTCCAAGCCGTTGGGTCCAGACGAAATCTGAACCCATCCCCGCAGGCGTTCCTGCTTGGACGGGGGTGAGGCTTCCAGTAAGAATCTCCATGCGGTAGGTTGTCAATTTGCCCTCAATCTCTGCACCCTGCAGAACTCGTGAAAACCATAACATATCAAAGGCCACGGTAGACGCCGCAAGACAGGTCCACCATGGCAGCTCTCCATGGCAGCCCTCCACATTGTGTGCCGAGTCATCTTGCCGGTAGCTCACCCCACCATGTTGTGTTCATTGTTTACCAGCTTTTGGTCTGTAGGGGAACCCTGCTGTTGCATGCTTGTGATAAAGGTTCCCTGGCAGGGATCATTACGGAATGGTTCCCGGGAACATACATGGATATGATCCAAAGCTGGGAAGCTCGTCATGCAAACGTCCTGCAAGGCACTAGCTTATCAGATTTTATTTAGGAATCCAGGAGACGACAACCCAATGGAAGATATTCATATTGCCATAAACCTGAAGCCTAAGCGTCCGCCAAGCAGAATTGCAATGACTTCGCCAATGCTGCGATGAGATCAGCCCTTTTCTGAAGTTTCTTGGAACTACGCTTCAACAACTGAACAGAACACCTTCCAAGTGATGTCCAGCAAACACAGTCCCAAATCTAGCACCATGAGGGGAATATGGGTGGGGTGGAGATGTACATGGGGTATACTGGGACAATACAAGGAGAAGGTACTCAGACCCCTGTAGCTGTCCTAGACCAAACACAAATCTAAATCCGGAAGCCTACCAGCATCAAAGCTGAAATCTCGGGCCTTTGTAGTCGCCTGATGCGAACAACTGGTTGAACTGTCGCTGGAACAACTCCTGGGGGCGGGATCAAGAGTCCAGGGTAGAGAATAGCTTGCTTTCTGTTCATACAGGGGGTAGTGTGTAGCATTGTAGGTGTTGGTCCGAGAATCTGCACAAGCATGCCGCAAAAGAACCCCTGCAATGGACGGTGATGGGGGCCATAAGGCTCTTCCTGGAGGTTCCACTTGCCACCCATGCAACCTTGTGACGAATCCTGCACGGGTTATTTGGCCTAACTGAGGCCACATCCCAGCCTGATCCCGTAGCTATGAATCCGCCTATTTCAGCCCGAGGTCATGCACAAAACCCCCAAATACCACTCCTGCACCTGCAAAGCCACGGTACGCAGACTCTTCTCAGCAGACCATTCTCAGGTTTCCTCCTGATCCCTACACCCCAATTCCTTTGTGATCCCTAACTCTCTCAGCCCCACCCTGAAGACTGAACTCCTGATGGCACCTGTTCATGCTTCATGCAGCATGTAGGCAGTGGTTTTGCTATTTGGGGTTCTCCAAAAACGGAGCCCCCATATAGCCATTCCTAGACTTGTAAAGAGCCAAGAAGGTCGCTACTGTTCCCGCATACACGACCATCTTCCCTGCAAGACCTGATCCAGTCCCCATACTGTCCACGTTCAATGCCACGTATGCAGCCGTTGAAGCCCCTACAACCTGCAGCATGGCTTTGACGTTACTCACCCAAACTTGGATCACAAGTTCAAGAGCAGCAAACAACCAAGCGCAACTCACAAAATCCAAATCCGGAATTTCCCTTTCCACCAAACACCGGAGCCTGAACGTCCCCCAATCTCTTTCCTTCCCCAGACGCCCCAATAACTCCAATGCCCCAGACTCAAAAAAGAACATAGCACTCAGACAAGGCGCATCCGCACCAGCCAGACCGAAGCGTCGGGCCAAGGTGAAGGCGATGTCCTGCGGTGGGCACACTAAATTCCCAAAGCTTTTGGGCTTTCGAATTTAGTTTCAGGTTCTATTCTTGGTCTTGCGGTATGTAAAGGTTTTCTTGTACAGCACTTTTCCATCTCTGGGGGCCGAGGGAAATTGGTGATATAGCAGGCGTAGGGTGGAGGGTTCATATAGGTCTTATCTTTAAGAATATGGGGATCCTTGTTAGGAAAATCTTGGTTCCTGGGGTCAGCCACTATGCAATACAGAGGGTTTTTCTGGAACAGTTGTAAGCTGATTTGGGAGCTCTTTGTCCTTCTCCTAGGGATCCAGTGCCTGACTTCCCTAGGCCATAAACAGTCTGCACTTTCGTATTACCTTTATAGGATTCTAGGAACCCAAAAATGTAGAGCGTGCCTACCCAGCTACCGATGGCAATGTTTACCCTTGTGCACGTTGAATCCCCAGCGGCTTTAAGAAAGCAGGCTAAAGCCTTGAGATTGGGGGATCTTGGTTGTGGGTTTGCCTAGGGATTACAAACACAAGCTGAAGGGTTCCGAGATTCCGGCTCAGCGATTACAAGAATTTGGGGCTTGGTGGGTCAATCCTCGTGGGGAGCATTGAAAAATCGAGCTTGGATTCAGGGATAGCATCTCGAAAGGGAGCATAAAGAACATGTAGGCCGATGCCCTATCTGGATGGATATGAATCATTCAGGGTTAGCCCTGGTCTGCCCGAGTTCTCAAGCCCTCGAAGTTCAAAGCCTGACATCCTACCTTTCTCGCTCTATGGACCTTTAAACCCCAAATAAAACAAAAACCTAGACTGCTCCCAGAAAAAGCCAAGAGCGGGGTCTCCTCCCCGATCTGAAAAACTCGCATGAAAACCATAGAAGCATTGAGGGTCCCAGGTTAGAGACTTGCAAGCAAGTCATCGGCGCCGGCAATTGGACCCTCCTTACCCAGGAATCTTCAGCTCCGTCCTGTCGGTTGGGGATTTGGACCAGCTGGTTCATGATGTAGTTCACAATAGCTGTCTCGTTGACCTGCGCTCCGCGCATCAGAAAGTGTAGACAAAGCGGGGTCCGTCCTGATAATCATTTGGGGGCCCTTAACAATATTTCCAAGCAACCCAAGAGTCTCCTCAGGTTTTCTCCACTTGTTTTTATGTTCATAAAGGTCCGTACAACATGGAACCTACACCTTTTAGAGCATGTAAAGAGCCCGCGCTTGTGAGAAATGCCCTCCCCAGGGGACTGAGAAAAAGTATGGTAGGAACATTGGAGGAAGGTGAGTGGCTTTGCGCATGAATGCATCATGCCCCTGAAGCCTACATTAAAGTAGGACAAGCCCGTAGAATACAAAGTGGCAATCGGCTCAATCTCCGCTTTTCATCACCGTGTAGGCCGTGGCAAAGATCTGATGGCCAGGGCGGAGTGAAGTTGCAGAAAACTGCAGCACATCTCCAATTGGTGTACCTCAGTGTAGTAGAAAGTGGGCAGCGTCGCGGCTGTGAGAAGCGTAGCGTTGCCGTTGCCGTCGCCCAAGTAGCACTGCCGTGACCACAACCGCGTCTCCCTTGTCCAGCTTACTCCGACGGGTGAGATCAGCATCAGTGTATTTCTCTGCAATGTTGTCTACGTCGACAGCTACAACAATCGCGACGGCTGATCAGCAGAACTTTAGAAGCACTCAGAACAGCAATGGCAACAGGGTCAGACGTAAGCCTATGCTGATCGCATCTCAATTTTCAGTTTCTCAGTCAGCAGTAAAGTAAATCAAGTACACCTTCCCAGAAGGACCACCGTGATATGACACTCACACATAAATTCCTTGGCAAAGCATGCCTCGCAGGCCTCCAGCCAAACTAGATCCGCCAGTCTACATGCCAGACAACACTAATCACTAAACTCTCAAACTCCAAACCCTACACCCCAAGGGCTCGGGCTACGATTCAGGCTTTAAGGTTGACAGTCTCAGATTTGATGTGTGCTAGGTTTTAGGGATGAAGGCCTGAGGCTCTATGAACCCAATGTTCGCCCTGAACTCCATGTATGGTAGCATTTTTGAGTTATGGTCCTCTAAATGCACACCAAATCCATGCACCGATCGATGCCCCCGCGGAATTCGGAACAGACTCACCGAAAAACACGGTCAAACATCACCTCATATTTCTAGCCCGCTAGGCCTTAAACCCTGAGAGCCTTCGCGGACATCACGGCACCCCGCTTGTTCACGAAGATAATGCCACCAGAGAGCGCGGAGCCCACTGTGATGAAAACTGTCTCCTGGATTGAGGGTCTGGTGGGTTAAGAGTGTTGGGATTTTAGGGTTTAGGCACTGAGGTCGTTGGGGCTGGCGGTTTTGCTTCTAGGGCTTTCTGCCTTGATGTTTAGTTTTAAGGCTTTCGTGTGTTGGGTTTGAGAGCTGTGGGTCCTGATTCTAAATTTTATAATTTCAGCGTTTAAGCTTGAGGCTGTTGGTGCAGGCGTCCTCAAAACATGTCCCATGTGATTAGATGTTCAACGCTATTGGCTATTGCTATTCTTGGCACTCTCTATTCTTCTGTGTGCCGCGCACGGTCCCTAAGGATCATGTCACAGCCCATCGAGGTTTGTACAAAAATGTCGTCAAGGAAGGGTTGACCAAAAGCTCCGGCTTTACCCCCTGCTTCCCCTAGAAACTCAGCCCTTGTCATCCAGGTTGACAATGCGAGCCTGGCCTGCGAAACGCGAGATCTCACCAGCATGGTCCCGGTGGCGATATCGAACATGAACAGGAAGCCAGCCTGCAGGCCAAGTTCGAATGGTGTGTAATTTATGTTAGGTGGCCCCTACACCCGCTAGCAATGACCGCAAACGATAATGGCAACCATATTAGGTTCCTTCTGTACTGTTGGGCCACTATTTTGGAACTGCCGTTTCAACTAATCAAACTTCATCAAACCAATTCATCAAGCATCGAGACATTCCCTGTTATTCGACACCCCCTGCCTCCAATCCTGGTTCACAAAGGTTTTGCTCCAACATGAGGGATATTGCATATGGCAGGATGGAGGCTTGTACTCCATGGTTGTAGACAGGAGCGCACTATGATAGGTTTTAGTCGCGCGAGCATTCAAATCACCTTCTGCCCTCAGACCCGTCAGTCCTCGTTGGGGTTCGACTGCCGAGGATTTCTAGACGCAAAATCCGGTAGGGCCCCTGTTCAGGCTATAAAGACCATTAGTACGTGACATCGCGGGACCACAAGCCCAACACGAAAAGACATGTCTGCGGATTCAAGGCTTGCACAGCGAAGCAAGCTTTGGTCTTCACACCAGACCAAGAGCTGCGCCATTACCATGGGTCCGCCAGCACTTGAACGGCGAAATCCCAAACTCTAAGCCCAAACCCGAACACTCGATAAGTCCCTGAAAGGCTCAGGGGGAATTATGAATAGGGTCATAAGTCCTTAGCCAAGGCATGCCAATGCCATAACCAAACGTTTCCGGTACTGGCAAATTTTCAACACTCCAAGACCTTAGCCAAAACCCTAGCACCGAACCGCAGGCCCCACACGGCTTTTGCTCCAACAATCCAGCCATGATCATTGGTATGCCATTACTTCGGTTCCGTGTAACCAAATAGCACAAAAAAAATCATGGAGTGCCTGCCTTGGTGATCATGAAGACCACACCATGCTTCTCGCTCAAATGGAGGCCGACAGCAAAGTCGGTGGGCGCCTTGTGCAAAGCTCAATTTTGAAGCTTGGGGGTTCAGCGTTTAGGATGCAGGGTGGGGCTGAGGTTCGATAGTGCTTCTGCCTGTGCATGTCGAGACAGACCTACTGTGCTAGGACCTTGTCGCCCGGAACCAGCATCCACACCTGCCCTCTTGCAAGACCCCACAGAGTTGGAAAGTTCTGCGTCTTTGACAGAGAGCTCTCATTTGTTGAATGTCTCTTGGTTTGGGAGAGACTGAACAAGATTGGGATTAAATTGAGGGCGTGGGCTTCAGGTTTCAGCGATATTGGACTACACAATGAGCACTAGGGAGGAACGCATCCGTTGCTATGTTCCAAGTTTTGATTCTCACTTGGGAAGGCAGGGGACAAGTTCCGGAATCCTTTCACGTCGCTGAACCGCGCAGCAGCATAGCGGCTCGAAATACAGGTGTGGCAGTACGGTGTCGCAGGTCAACGCGTTTATTCCAGGAATGCTAAGGAACATGCAGCAGCGTGCGCTTTTAAATTACAAACTGGCATCTCTCGGCATCTACAGCTCAGCCTCCTGACCCCGAGCTGATATGATAAGGTCAAGCACGGAAAACCTTTAGGTTGTATCCGAAAACGTGCCAGTGCTTTCGGCTGAAGGATCCATTTTGGGTCTTCAGCGCGGCCGAAGGCTGAAGACTGACGATTTCCACTCACAATCTGCATGCGTATGGCCTTGCCTCACCCTGAACCCAAGCCACGCCCAGCACCCTTGAAGTTTTGTAGTCCCATCTGAGGCAGTCGACATTCCTGTTAACTAGCCATTGCACATTATAATCATTATAATCCCTCCCAGCATTTGTTGCAAACCTCCAGCTTCCTGAAAACATCTGCACATCTGCCATCCTCTTAGAGACCAACCCTTTAGCCTTAAAAACTAAAACCGCAAGCACTTTAGCCTGCTGGCATGAACTCCCACATAAAAAATAACTTCTAAGCCAAACCCACTGAATCTACTTGAAGGCTCATAAGTAGAAACAGCTGGCGAAAAGGACTGCAAGAAAAGCTTGTCTTTTGCTAACTACTTCTGACTTCCAATGAACCTAAAATGATAGTTAGCGCCCTTCAGTGTCTGGGTCTATGAAGTTGTTTTTTAATACCTGTTTGTTTCAAGGTTCGGAATAGGGGCTTAGGTTTCCGAGTTTATTGGTTTGGAGGGTTTAAGGTTTAGGGCTTCAGATTTGCAGCTTGGGATTTCTAAGCTTAGGACACAAATTTCACAGTCAGGTGGCCTCCGGAGGCATGGCAATCTCCTGCTGGACCTGCCGCTAGTGAAAGTTTTGCCAAGCATCTTTCAAAAGGAGGGGCTCAGAGACCCTAAGGACATACAGGAAAATTGGATCATGACCCTCCTTTGTAGGTTCGACATGAGGATAGTTTTGAGGAACGTACATGTACTCAAGGAAAAAACTATACATGTAGCAGACAGTAGTGTGAAAGATATGACACAGCTGCAGAGTAAGAAGGCTTCAACGAATTCTGGCGACATCTGGATACAGGCCCTTTGTGTGAAGGGGTGCTTACAAACGTATGAGAACTATCGAGGGATATGAGGATTATGTTATGTGTGTATGGACGAGAATCTGGCAGTATCCCTATCTACTATGTATTTCGAGCAGTGCGCCTATTTCAGTACCAAACATGCCCAAAAACACGACACGTGTTGGACCCTGCAAACAGTCAGAAGATAAAGCTTTGCTGTCGCTTGGGGGCCACGGTCTGGAAGTTGAAGGGCTTCGTTCGCAGTGCGGCCCTTGAGTCGTAGCTGTAACTTCGTGCAGATGTCTTTGGGTCGTTAAGTAGTGAAATCCTGAAGGCTGCAGCCTAAGGGTTCAGAACTGCAACGGGCCACTTCCCATGCTGTGCCCACGAAGACCTCTGCAGAAAATGCTCAAGTTGAGGAAAGTCAAATGCGAGAGCTCTTCAGGGCTTGAGGCTCAGGCGAGTCTAGATGCTAGTTTGGCGACCACCTCCAAGCAATGACAGTTCAGGGAATAAATCTGCTAAGGAACGCACAATCATTCCAGGGCGCCAAGCTTGTGAAGCTGAAACCCTTTTGACGGCTTAGCAGTCAGAGCTGCATGGCTCGAAGCTCAAGATGTCATAAACGCGATATGAAGTCTTGATCCTCTAATTCAACTCTGATAGCAGAAGAAGTCTTGAGCCTGCTGGTATACCACCCACTTCACTATGAAGTTGCAAAGTTCCATGTTTGGCGGGGAGGCGGGGGTATGAGAGGCGGACCTGGCAGTTTGATATGCAACCCCGAATGCCATCAGTGTCCAGTTCGCAGTCTCTCGGTATTACAGTGACTGATCCCTAAACCCTATAGCCTGCGTTAAAGGAAACCCATCCTGGTAATATATTCCTTGTCACCCCAAACACCGGACCTTGATTCCCATTTTAGGGTCCGACAAGGGATCAGGGCCGGCTTTCACGGAAGCGGGCATTTCTTTCGTTGGAATATATTGCCTTAATGAGCTCCGTTTCAAGGGAATTATAAGGGACATCTAGTGGTTATGTAAAAAAAGGCCGAAAGATTTGGGATCTTTATTGCGAAGCCATTGCCGAAAACCCAGAGCCCACAATAGCTCCACCGGGAGTCCTTGAACGGCGGGGCGCTCTCTCCCCTGTTCTTCCTTGGTGGCACGTGTAGAAACCAAAGTATTCAGATAGATGTCGTCCTCAAAGGTTTATGGGGCTGATCAGAGATACCCTCGAAAGTACGGCACTTGAAGGTTTACTTCGCCAGCTTTTTGAGGTGTTACGTTTTCAAGATGTTTTCAAGATATGGTTTCGATGTTGTGACAAGATCAAGTGTCGAAGTCTGCCTTGCTATATCGCAGATTTCCTTAATTACAAGCTAGCACATCGGCACACCATATCGACCTGATCTTCTATACAGCGAGGTTTGAATGAATTTTGGAATCTGAGCGTGAGATGGTCTCCTAGTCTACAGTGGAGCCTAGCTAGTTCCAGGCGCCTAAGCCAGGCAACAAGCCCGTCCCTGGCATGCTAAGAAAACACGACTCCCTAACACTAAATATTCGCCGAAATCTACCAAAATCTGCTTGGTGATGAATATTGTCAATATGTCCATTGTCATTATTGGTTGGGGGCTGCGCTTATATTGCTTCTGCAGGGAAGAATAAGAACCGCGAAGTGCGGGTGTCTACCCCAGGTTCCAGTGATGCTTTCTCATGTATGTTTGGAGAACCCGCCTTCTGAAAAAATGCATTCCAACCTTCACATACCAAGAATTCTGCCCGTTTCAACAGGCAAATTGTAACCTGGAGTTTGGTGCCGATGAAATAGCGAAAGCCGTGCAAAAGGAACTCACCAGAACACAAACATCCTGCTGAAGTGCACCCATGCTTCAGGATGTCCATGATGTGCAGCTTTGTCTGTGGATTTCCGGCCTGTGGCTACGGAGACACAACTCTCCAGGTATCATACAGGAACATTTTGAAGCGGAGATTGCTCAATGTACCCGCAAGCTCATATTGTCTTTGTTGTCGACGGCCCCCTACGATGATGCGCACGCTTTTATACCGGTACCGCTGGCTTGGTTTCTGGGCGTCAGTGGTACGACCGTTCCTCGTATCAGAGGTGGAAGTACTATTGGCGTTTGTGCCTATCATCTTTGCGGGTAGCACTAAAGTTCCAACTGCTCTACCTTGTCTTCCTATGACACGGTCCACTATTCAGTAGGAGCCTCGCTGTTGCTGTGACAATGCCTCTGTCTTCTACACCTGCTACTTGTAGGGAGGACCACATCATAGTAAATCTGGAATGCTTGGTCTTTGGGCAGCCACATATTCAAATTTGCAGGCCCTGCAGGGGAGTAAGTCAATCTTCCCACCAAAGGCCCAAGTCACAACAAGGCGATCCATCAGTATGGAGACCTCGCGGGTTTAAAAAAGACCTGAGGCTCAAGGCCCAAAGTCCTCACCAAATCTTCCGAATTAAAATTACAATCCACAACTGCCAAAAGGTTACTCATCGGGATTGGAGTCTTGAACGTGGGTGCTGGCTGTTAATTGTGGCTCTTTCTGACGCTGCATCCATCTGAAAGCAGCCTGGCAACATTCAATAGCTGCGGGGAGCCCCGAAACGCTCAAAACCCTGGGGCCCTTGAGCTCGACACCTTATAGCGGTCATAGCGTGAATCCATCAATCTGCAGGCCTTCCTCTCTTGGAAAGCAAAGACGCCACATCGCACACCACCGTCATCCACGAAGACATTGCCAAAGCAACCTTGAGGGACCCCGAAAGGTACCATGTAGAGGCGTAAGGCGTGTTGTAAATAGTCATCTTACAGATTACGAGAGGATAATCTTCCTGGTTAAAACCAGGAGTCCACGAAACAGGTTAGGAGATAATTCCACGAGCTGTTTGTCAGGTGCTGGCAAAAGCCCCCCTGCCAGCAGTAATTGCTCGTGGCCCTGGAGTGCTCATGGCACCTTAACTGAGGGAACTTCCTCAACGGCTGTTACATGCAGCATAATTCAATGTAAAGGCTTGACGGGCTTAGTGGGGTAGAATATATGGGTTTGAGTCAAAATGAGGAGCAGGAGAGGAAGATGATTTCTGCAAGGCCGTACAAGATTTAGTGCGAGTTCTCGTGACCATAACTGATCATCAGTTACTGATGTGCAGGAACAGGGAAATATCACAATTCGAACTCACTTTTTTTCACTCTGAAGGGGGGCTGTGTTTGCCTAGTTGCAGGAACAGGGAAATATCGCTATTCGAAATCATTATTTTTTCGCTCTGAAATCAGCGAATAATTATTTTCTTGTTTCCAATGGTTACCAGCTACCGTCACTCATAAAACTGATGTGGCTACTGTTAACTTCTTGGCGCTCCGGGACAGGTCAGATCTAAGGATGGGTGAAGGGATGGACAGATGGATGTAAGCCGATCAGTACAGTGGCCCGGGCAGTTTCAGGGCTCACAGGTCCGAAGTATGGGACCCTGGGTTCAGATCAATACATATCTGATGAACACCAAAATGATCCCACATGTAGGAGGGAGGCAGCAAGCTAGCAACTAGGGAATTTGGGTATGGCACTTGCTAGACAGAAAATCAAACTCCAATGGCCTTACCCTGGACACGAGAATTCCATGCATCAAGCCGCACACAACAAAGAAATCCAAGAAAGACACCATCTTGAGCAGCCCAATGGCTTCATTCAGAAAGATCCCGGAAATCCTAGGATAAGGATGTTTTGGTGGAGTCTGCTTGCGTGGGGGATCGATGGGGATCGAGGGCTCAAGTTGGTTTCATGCAGCATGGCACATATTCTGCAATGCAGATCAGGAGTCTTCCATACAAGTTTACATATATACCCTGTAGCATGGGGGTCTTTGTTTCTTTGTGGTAGTGTACCCTACCTCTCATAAGGTGTAGGACCCCTCTGAACCCAAAAAAAACCAGAATGGAGGCCAGCCTGCATGTCCCTCCAGCAACTGCTGCTGCTTCCTCTCCACGCCTCACTCACATTTTAGGCTTGTTGTTTAATGGCTTAAGGGTTTAGGCGCCTATAGGGTTTAGGGTTTAAGGGTCAGCATCAGGGTTTAAGCTCAAGGCTTTGGGCTTCAGGGTTAAAGCTTCAGGATTTAGGCTCAGACCCCTCGAGCATCCGACAAGAGGACTTGGGAGCAAGGAATCAAGGCTTGAAGAGCAGAAGGTTTTAAGCCAGATCCGCACATGGATCTCCCAAGCCTGCTTGCTCTCGCTTAGATACATAAAGCTCCTGCGTCCAATTGCCCAGCACAAGCCGCAAAGGCCCCAACACCTGAATGTTCTAAAATCAAGCCACGAGCTCTTGTATAGCTTGAGGGACTTGACTTCAAGTGCGCATAAATTCAGGACCCTGCAGCCTTTCTCCCAACTCGTGGCCTCCAGATTTGGGATCTGATCCTTAAGTTTAGTGGTTGCCGCCAAGTGCTCAAGCATAGACGTGTGCACATGAAGCAAGAGAAGCCTGTTTCTGTAGCTTCCAATTCTTCATGCGGGGTTCTGGAAACTGTGGGGATCACTCAAAATGAGGGCACATTCACTGAACACCCAAGTACATAGGTATGGAGAAAATTAGGGTACCTGTCCCGGATTCTAGCCGCTTGATTTTGAGGCGCTCCCATGTCAACTGGGTTCCTACACTGCCGACCTGCCAACGGGCAAGTTGGAGGTGGACTCTGGCAATTTCTCGTTACCAGCACAGAACTTTGCTGCAGCTTTTTTGGGATCCCTGAGCCTCTTCCCTAGTCTTACTAACAAAACGCATTTGGTTGCTACCAGGAAGAGCACAACAAATTTCACCCGAACTATTGATGAAATCCTATCAATGACCTCGACACTTCCCTTACCGCTGTGGCTCTCGGCTATAGAGCTGCATGTTGCCATCGATGGTCCTGCCGGAGTCCTGAAGCAGGAAGGCTCTGGGAGTGCGGGTGCGGTTTAGGTCGAGGGTATACGCGACCGTGCACGTAAGACTTAACCTAGCTATTGCTATATCTCAACAGCACTGCAACCAAGCAGTGGAGGTCGTCTGGCAAGTCCTGAAAACTTGCACAGGCAACTTTAGCACCATCCAACCTAGACAACTTACATTGTTTAGGAAGCCTGGAGGGCAGCACAAGGGCTGCCGTAGTGATTCCTTCAAGGTTATGTACACATCACTGCTGTGTCAGGCGGAGACATTGATGGACAGGGGCTTTCAAGTTCCAGTTCGAGGCTGAAGATTTGCGCTTGTGCCTTGAGTATCACTTCTATTGCAGCTTCTGACGCTTCAAAGCTTGAACATCTTAGCTCCGGAAGTCTTCCAGCCAGGCCCCATCATCACCACCGGTTTGAGGTTCTGTATGTCCCACCTCTGGCCCTGCTCCCGGACTCAGCTTTGAGGCTTCTTTGCCTACTTGGTTTTCAACAGGGTTTAGGCGCAAGGAACTTGCAGGTCAAAAAATGCGGAGCCGAAGGCTCCAATAATAATGAGACCTTCTCTCCTCTTACGTCAGCCCTCCCCCATGCCAGGATGAGTGACCTAGCCAATCTCCGCACCTGGGACGAGATCCCGGTCAGCAAGCACCATGAGACCTCCATGTGGTTACTTCTCAAAAATGTCTGAGGTTAGAAGTATGGGCATTTAGTCCCGGTCACCTTCAAAGAACTTATGGCAGCAAGTGCTTTGAGAGACATCACGGAAGGTTTGGGGTTTTGAAACCCCAGGCTTAGGTTTAGACTTGAACATTCAGGGTCTAGGGACTGGTGTATAGGGATAGTATTTGTGTCAGAATTGAAGTGCTTCTCTTGGGAGCGTTCTATCTTGAAGCCTAGCATTTGAAGGGGCCATGACAATCCACCTGTCCTCGTGAGCATTACCGAGTTCCAGTTTCTTCTAGCCTCTGTTCCAAGGAAGCACCTGGAGACACACAATCTAAAACTCTTGAGGTAGGAATGGAGCTCATACGACAGGAAAAGGATACAAATTGGACAGCGCCCTGGGCTTCTACAAGTCTGGTTTCAATGCATGGTCACTCTTTGCACTGCTATTGCGTGCTATGGCTTGCTGTAAACTTTCGGGGTGAATGTGCGAAATCGAATTCTGATGAAGTCTTGGCGCGGCACTTGCTGAATGGCCTGCGCCACCCCCTTGGGGAAGACTTCTCCCAGCCATGGAACCCAAAGACCTGATTCCTAAAATGCATACATGGCAGTGAGCTCAATAATTCCGAAATTAAGGACCTCTTGAAGGCGTGTTGAGCAGTTGAAGGTAACGGCAAGAGTTCTAGTTGTCCCCTGAGTTGCCCAACCCTCCACGACGCGGTGTTTGAGTCTTGGGCTCCCATGCCATGATCAAGATCCTTGCACAGCGCACTTTTGAACCCACGGAGAACTCCCCTCGACCCAATCCCTCAGTCTGCAAACTTGAGAATTCTCACAAAGTTGTGCTTCTGCCAAACCTGAACCTGGAGCCGACACCCTTAGACACTTCACTCCCAGAAGAGTAGGTAGACCTCACTGGTTCTGGAAGCTGTAGATGCTTTTTCCTCCAGAGAACTCGCACCGCCTTTCTTGCATCTGAGCGGACAAAGATTCCGTACCGGAAGCCACAATCATTGTGTATGCGAAGTTCCAAACAGCTCCCCCCCCCGAATCTGAACCTTGACAAGGCCACTACCCCCGAGCCTGGCTGTTTGCAGAGTAGTTGATGATCTGCGTGCCTCGTGATGGTCTCAAGATGAAAGGTTCGTCTCGGGAGTCTTTATCGTGAAGAGCCCCCAAGCCCACGATGGCAATGGGGCCTAAGTCTTAGAGACTGCAGCTTATAGGGCTTGTGCCTTTGTGAGTTCGGGTCTTTAGGGCTAACAGGGTCGCGAGTGCTTTAGGCACTTACGGCATTGAGGATTTGGTCTTCAGGTTTACGCCGTGCGCGTACTTTTGCTGTAAAGTTCCGGGGTTTACTCTTGGCAGCATCCCCGCATGATACGCTTTTAGACCAACCGCCCAAAGGCTCTTCAGAGGCGCAGCATGCGAAGCTGACCTCCGTAAGGTCGTTAAAAGCCCCATGGTTGGGGTATCCTTGAGGTGGGTACTGCAAGGTTTCGATTGCGACAGGCCAGTATGTCATTAGCATATCGTTCCTTGAAATACGCCGATGGGTATCAACCACGCGCATTTTTGGCATGCTTACTGCCGTTCTTGCTGTTCACAACATACAAGCACCATGTACGTAATCCTTGAATTATTCAATATTCGGCCCAAGGAACCCAAACAGAACATCAAAATCTAAAGCCCTAGCCCTAGAACCTCAACGCTGAAAGCTGCCGCCCTGGAGAGAATACCCTAACCCAACCCGAAACCCACCCAAGGAAGGCCTGATCAGTAAGCCTGCAAGGAACTGCGGTCCCTGAACCTTAGACCCAAAGTCCCCACTACCCTGGGCAAAAAGGGCTGCGGAACATCGTACCAGGTCACACAAAGCGCTCTCTCTCGCACACTGTGAAGATCCCAACCATGAATCCTCAACCTCACAAAACCTTGCTCAATCCCAAACCCAAAGCCACCCCAAGCAATCCAAGAAGTATCAATGTGTTGCTGTTAAGGACCTTTAGTTAAGTTACTATCTTGGGGAAACCATATTGGTTACTCTATATATATATATACCCATTATGGTAACTTAATTTAAGTCCTTCAACAGAAACCCAGATAGAGGATCCCCGCTGTGGAACAAATGGAGGCCTGCTTCTGCAAGCTTGCCCGCGCGCTGAAAGATCTTCTCAGGCTGGCTGTTGGCCACGGACAGGTTCCAGTGGTAAACGTCCTGGCTTGGGGTTCCTAGGCCCTAAATGGTAGTTTCCATTTTCTGTTCCGCTATCCCTATATAATCAACCCTATCTTATAGCCTATATAACCCTATATTATACCCAGATAGGGTGCCAGGTTTTGAGCTTAGTGTTCAGGGAGTAGGCACAGAGATCCGGGATGCAGGCTTTGAACGTCTGGTATTGATTCATGTGATTTTGGGGTGTACTCATTGAGGGACCCGGCAGGTTTTGAAACTCCGGTTTATGGTCTTGGGTTTTAGAGTCCTTGGCTGCAAGTCGTGGGCTGCAGGGCTTTCGATCTGAGAAGTACCGGAATGACAGGATGGCGCAAGGAATCCATGCTTCGGAGTATACAGCTTAGAGAGAAAGGACGCTGAACACGTACCTTCCATACCAGGGCTGAAGGCAATGACATCGTGAACTCAATGAGTACTTAGAAATGTTTGTACACCTTGGGGGACAGGTTGGTCTGCTGGATGAGGTTTAGAGGTTCAGGGCTTCGGTCGCAGGTGTAGATTTGGAGCTTGTGCATTAAGATGTCTCGGAAATTTGGAACGACAGGCGTATTCAACTTGAGTGTGGACGGACCAGTGATTGGGGGGTTGGGTTGCAACAATTGAACAAGAAACAAATCATGAAAATGTCCCACGGCTTGTTCGAAGAAAAAGCTGGCAGTAACAAGAAGGAAAATGAACACTGCTAAACACACGCACAAGCAAGCTCGAAAGAACAAAAGGGAGAAGAACACACGAGTGAAAAGATTATTTGTCGAGCATCTGAATTGGAGTTTGGCGGGAGGTTTCTGACGACCCTTGGCATTAGAACTCGATGGCCACAGCTCTCAAGCCCTATATTCTTGAGCCAATCCTTGTCCAATTCTTGTAAACACCTATGCAGGACTAGATGGACTCGAACCTCCTGTCCCTGCAACTGTCTTTGCAAGTTCTCTAAGCCTCGGTCTAAGGTGTTGAGGGACTAAACTGTAAACCCTGTGCCTGCGCGCAGATGAGGGCCAACAGTCGCGGGGCGAGCCATCGCCAGAAAACGATCTGCTCTGGGCACTGGTAGACTCCGAGCCTCGGGAAAAGCTTTCGCTCAGGCTGCATGGTGCTTGGCAATGCTTTACATTGTGCGAGTGCAGTAGACAGTGCTCTAGCCGTGTAGAGCCAAAGCGGAAGTGGAAGCCGCATTCGGTATCAGGGCAGAGTCCTCCACGTTTCCAGTGTCTTTTGTTATCCTTCAAGGGCCCTAGAAGGCTGTGCCGTTGCTCTTGCGCGTGTTGTTGCCATCTAAGCCTTCAGACAGCAGTGCCTTGTATTCCCGCGAGCAATTCTCAATATGCTGCCTTTCCTGGAGGTCCAACCTGAACACTGAGCAGCAAACCTTGCCACTCATACCACCGGGCTGCTCTGAGGCACGATCAGGCGCGGGAAGGAAACTGACATTTTGGAGACACCAAGCCGAGGCCAAAACTTCTCCTTGGAGTCGAGGTTGAAGATCTGCACGAAATGGCCAGCTTGTCCCTCAGTTGCAGCCTGGCAAGCTTTCTGGGTGCTGGAGCGTAGGCTTTAGGTTTGTAATTTCTTTCAGCAAGGTTTGTGTCGTGTATTGGGGATACGGTATGAGGCGACCTCCACCAAACTAACATGGAACTCTGTATAGCGCCGTTTTAGTGAGCCCGTGGGAGGCGGAGGTTCTCAAAATGGGATGGCTTTGGGATCCTAGGGATGAAACAAGTACTACAGGGGGATGATGGAGGCTCCCTCAAGGTATGTGCATATAAATATATGTATATATGAATATGGATGGTCAGGCGTCTGGCCTTCCTGGCCCCCCTCGCCCAATGGTATGGTCTGGAAGGGGGGGGGGGGGCAGGAACGCGCGGAATCTCCGTGACCGTGGTCGTTTTTGGCACTTCGCAATCTCGAAAGCGCCAACAGTCACAGGGATTGCGTGTCCGGAACGCGCCATCTTCGTGACTGCCGCCACTTTTAGAGTCTGACTCTGTGCACAAGATCCAAAACATGCCGACAGCTACAGGGATGGGCTAGTTTGCGGCACGATCCTCCGAGCTGTGGTAGATGTTTGTACTTGAACGTTTCTAACATTCCACCATGAAGCTTATGTGTCCTTCTACGACCCTCTGAAGACCTCAGAACACTGCACAAGCTGCATAGGAATGATGATCAAACTCTATATCTACACATCCATAGATAACCCTGTTTAATCATATAAATGTCTTCTCTCAACCCCCATGCCATACAAACTTACAAATGGCTTACGTAATTCCTCCATTTGTGAGACCCCCACCCACCCACACCCACAGGAGGGAGGGGAAGACCTCAAGTCATGTCTCTTCATCCCACCCAACCCCAACCACACCCACAGACGGGACGGCCAACCCCAACCGCACCCGCAGGGGAAAAGGGTTTCCCCCCAACCACAGCCACCCAGAGGGGAGGGGCAGAGAAGCCTAGACCATAGGGGGTGTGGCCAGCAAGCGCATGACCATATATACAGGAATGTTGTAATGGAAATGCTCATGCTAGTTTGGGAAGGCTATGCTATGCGTAGCAATATTTGCGGTCAGCAGCATTGAAATTGAGATGTTCAGTCTACCATCCATTGGCATCAATTGGGAGCAACTTTGTTCACGGGAGACCTCAGAAAGGCCTTATCGCTTCCGTCAGCACCCTATATGGCACTTGCAAAAACAACCAGGAGGCTTGACAGCAGATGCAAGTTTTGGAGTGAACCAACACCATGACCCAGAGTCTGGATCAAGTCCTGAAAACTCGAAACCATCGCGCCCGGATGAATGGCATAATTCCACCGTGCCTGCTTGATGGACAGAGGCTTCATCGGCGAGCCCTGTGTGACTTTTTATGGCGCCATCCTAACGCCTAACCCAAGGCCCCAATCAGGTAATCGATCAAAACATACAACTTGGTTGTTTCCTCAAGTAGGGGACCCCAATGTAGGCCCCAAATATTGTGATGCACCCCTAGTTTTGGCGAAACCCCACTTCTGCGCAAGCCCAAATCAATGCCAGTTATCCGCTCTGTGATCCTCATAGTCCATATTCCCCTATACACTCCAAACCGAACCCCAAGCGGTGAAACCCAATACTCAGCCCCAAAATCCCAAACTCCACGGCGTCAATCGTAACACCGAAGCTCAAGAAACGAAACTGAAAAACCCTGGGGCCTTCAGGGCGATAATGTTGTCCACTGGATTCATCAACGTAGCCTTCAAGACAAAGTCGCTAATGCAGCGAAGAAGGCGCTTTGGGGTCTTGAGGGATTCTAGGACGATCGAAAAAATTGTGGTGACTCATGGATTGCAATGGACTACGTATTCAGAGTGAGGTCTTCGTCGCATTCCAGCAGGAGTGCACAATCAATCGGAGAGAACAAAAGGGGTATAGATTCAAGCTGCGAGAACTGCTTCAGGAAGCTGGGGCGTCTGGTTCAGCCTTCACGGCTAAGGCTTGGACTTCAGGGTCAACCAGGAAAGGTTCAAGGTTTTAAGCCTAGGGTTCACTTTTGAGGCTCAGCTGCTTGGACTCCGGGGTGCTTCAGGATTGGGCAGCCAAGGACATCCATCTCGGTAAGCAGAACAACTAGCTGGTGGTTTGGGGGATTTCGGACATTGGCAGGTTGAAAGTTTGCTAGGCTTATGGAGCGGTTGGGAAACGTATGTAAGACTGCGCTCAGGACGTGACCCAACACTGGGCCTTCTCAGGAAAAACAGCATACTTGTAGCACTCAGAGAAAATCAGAGATTTGGCCTTAACTCTATGGCCAGCATCGTCAGACAAGACTTTCAGAGCCTAACGTCCTAAACCCTGAATCCGCACATTATCCGCATCGAGCCGTAATCCCGAACCCTAGAAGCAACCCCCAAACTCCGGCAAGAGGCAAGATAAACTAGACTCAAAGGACAGCAGACCAGCAGCCTGTAATGAGAGCTCTACAAGGGCAACAATAACATGTATGTGGGCATAGGTAAGCGTATCACGAAACACAGGTGCGGTCTAGACAGGAACTACACATGCCCTACGTGTCGTAACACCAGTGTTTTCCAACCCCAAACCTGAAGACCTGAAGCCCCAAGCCCCAAACCCCACACAGGTCGCACCTCTGCCTTCATTGGGCGTTTGTTGACTGCATTGTTGTTGTGCATGTCCACTACCACGACCTGCCATCTAGACGATGCATACTGAGTATATAGCTGGTTCAAGGTCCAGGGGTTAAGGCTTGCTGAGCATGTTGCCTCCGGGTATCTTTTTTGATACGTATGAAGGTACTACTTAGAAACCCACAAAACAAGCCAAGGGTCCTTGTTAGTGCTCAAAATTCCAATCTTAGACAAACCCAGGCATTTCCAAAGCTACGTGTAAGGGTTCAAGGCTTGACGGTTTCGCTCAAGGACTCGAGCCTGAAGTTTAGGATTGTGTGGTTGTGGGTTTCGAACTCACAGTGTAGGATGGTGGTAGGATGTTAGGCACTGATGTTGCGTTTAGGGTGGGCTGAGGCCCCAGCTTACAACAACCCAAAACACGACTTGGTATGGTCAAAACACGCCTCTGCCTTGCTGCACATGATGTTGGGGACATGTGTGACAGGCCAAAGCTCAAAATCTTTGAGCAAGCCCCAATCATACGGGCTAACAACCTGTATACGGCTCAAGATTTTACAACTTCAGGAGATGTTGTCCATTGTAATTACATGAATTCAAAGGATAGGTCCAGGGAAGCTGGTCTGGAAATCGATATGATCGCGTATACTGCAGAGCGACCCCTGTGTTCCTAAGAAAAGCCGCCAATCCTGGTCCTGCACCCTGCGCAAGCTTAGGTGCAGCCGCAAACTTTCCTACTTTCTCTTAGCGCATGGTCCCGAACCAATCTTGCTTTGGGGGTTTGGAGTTTGGAGTTTGAAAGAGAAGGGCTGTCGGCTTCTAATAGCCAGTGTAGGGTTTGCTGCACGGTAGTTGGCTCTTTAGGTGGGGTCTGCTAGTTGCACCAGGATATCTAGGAACACTGAAGCAAAAAAACTGACAATGAACAAGCAAAAAACACGGCACGATAAATCTTGAGGATTCGGAGCATCCTGGCAATCCGTCAGTGCACCCATAGGGCCTGAGCCGTGCCGTCAGGGGCGGTATCCTTGATGCTGATATACTTGTCTGACCTTTGCAACTTGGTGGTGAAGGCTTTGGAGTCGGGGGGCTTAGCCTTGTGGCCTCTTCATGACATGGAATCTGGAAACTGCGAAAGAACCATCTATATCGCACTTGGCGAAGTTGTAATATGATTACTTCTGAAGGTCGGTGAAAGAAAGAAACAGGTGGTGACAAGCCACCTGGCTGCAACGTTTCTTTTGTAAAAAGCCGACGTGATCACATTGCACCCGAGACCCCTTCCGGAACCTCTTACGGGGCTACATTGATCTCAACCAGGAACTCTTTTTGGAATCCTTCTGAAGTTGAAGGGGTACGAAAGCCCTGCGCCACCCACGTGAAATATGATTGACTCATAAGCTAGACTGCAGCTGGGTACACGGAATCTTTAATTTTGGGTCAAGGGGGAGTCAGGCCAATGCAGGAGCTGCAGGTATGGAACATGCTCTGGAAGGTCTGATTTTCGACGAGTTCTGCGGGACATTCCCGAAAGTAAGATGCATTTCAAGAACTCGCTGCTCTGCCTCCCAAACCCTGTCAGCGTAGCGTAGCAATCTCAACAAGGACAGTCTCACAGGATCTACGGTTTAGGGCTGATGCAGCCGCTGATTCGAAAAGCAAGTGTTCCTTAGAAGAGATGAAAAAAGGATCTCAATGTTCGGGTCGTAACACAACAAAAAAAATTGTTGTTACGACTATATGTATGTCTCACCCCTGCTACTTGCAGATTTCTTCTTTACTGCTAATCTTAGCCTGGCTATCATTGCTACACCACCACCACCACCACCACCACCACCACCACCACCACCACCACCTGCTGCATCAGCCGAGCCACTCCATTGTCAGACTGTTGAACTTGAAAGCCTGAAAGCAACAATGACGCGGCAACGAAGGGCAGGGCCTGATGTATGCCTTCACCCGTACTCTAAACGATCTATGACGGGCCATTTCGAATTTCTGGATGAGGCTTCCGAGTCTAGGATGGAAAAAAAAGCAGAGTTAGAGATCAGGAAAAAACCACGTCAGGAATGTTGCCTTGGTCTCGACGCCGGAGTTGTAAGAATCCAGAGAAGGGCATGACAGTGATGCTTAAAACACAAACTCTGAACACTATCAGCCGTGTAGCTCACACAATCTGAGCCTCAGGATTTGTGGCACAGGATGCGGTTTGTACGGAGTGGAACGCAACAGGCATACTGTGGCAGGATTGTAGCGTCCCAGCAGAAACGCCTTTAGGACTGGATGACTGCGCTACCACCTTGTTGAAAGAATTCTTGAACTCTACTTCTGGACACAAAACGCCACCGAGAATGCTTTGGACCGCGCCCGCCTGAGCATTGATGCCCTGACTTCCCAAGTCAATCGCAGTGGTCCTGGGGCTGGCATTGGAAACCTGAATCCTATAATCAGAGCCCCAAACCTGGCACAAAAAGCCAACTTCAAACCTTGACTTCATAGTCCCTAACACTAAATCCTACGACTGAAGCTTCAAACTGTGCCGACATGTTTGAGTACCGGGGAGGCAGCAGGCTGTTGCAGGATCTCCTCTAGAAGCGCTTCGAATGTCTTGAGCGGAAGCGGTTTGATCTTGGATTTTGGGTTTGTATCCCTTTGTCATGTGATGCCTCACTGAAACCGGAGAAGAGGAAGTAAAAGGCGATTCAAAGGCCAAGCCAGCTTAGGCTGTGTCTGGGGTCATTCACTGCTGCGTAATCTCCGTCCAGCTGCGTCCATGTGGGATTCAGGTGGGGCTTGGCTGCGGTCGGAAGGACCCTGCTGTGATCGCTCGCACAGGAATTTGCTGTCGAGCTTTGCAAAAACAGCACACAAGCTTCAAACTGGTAGCCAGCGAGCACCAAACTCACAAGCAATTGGAGCACTCGCCATTTCTGATTTTTGGCGCCTTGGAAACAAGGCCCCAAACCTGGTGTCATTAAGGTCCGACGCTTCGCCTGAAGGATATTCGGTGGGCCCTCAGCCAGAAACCCTGACTCTCGGAGGCCTACACCAGAAACCCGCATAAGCTGAAGTTAGCAGCCTAGATATGCCGAAACCCAGAGGCCAGTGGCAGCCAGAACCTTGTTTTGGGCCCCCGGCACAGCGACGGGTAGCTCCGCCATAGTCGCAAAACCTAAAGAGCAAAGGTACTTTGAGGTGACATCTAGACCCATTTTGAATATGTTTAGCGCAAGTTGTGGGTGCTGGACTCGGCATGCATATAAGTTTGGGGTTTGGTGGTTGCGACAATTTGCATGACCTTTTCTATAGGATTATGACAGAGTTATGTGGAGACGGTGCGCGATGGCAAGTAATGCAGAGACTACCCAAGGATCCACAAGTGTTCCCATTACCTAAGAGAAGCGCAGGTGCTGTAAGGATTCAACGGAAGGCTTCGAGCTTGATGCAAGGGCTTTGTCACAGGCATCGTGTTCAGACTTTGGGTCAAAGATCTACCTGAATCTACATCCGATGATCTCCATTTTGGTAATTGTTACCCTGATTGCACCTTTCCAAGCAACACTACTGCAAGTTTAAACCTGGTTTTTCCCTACTCCGCGGACTTCACTTTCATTGTCTGCGTGGCCATTCAGACCGCTATTCCAGCCTGATGGACAAAGGACTCATGGCAGGGCATTGGTGTGAATTACTGAGGTCAGGAGCCTAAAAGTTGGGAATTCGGCTGAGGCTTCGGGTCCTGAGCCTTACAGGGCTTCGTCTTAGGCTGTAGTGCATGTCGTCTTAGAGCAAGAAGAGATGTGACAGGATAGCCGACCTTGTACTCGAGACAAAGTTCAATAGATGGCTGGGTCTTGCAATGGGGTCTTCCCTCTGCCCTGCGAACTAGTTGTGGACGCTGCCAGGAGAAAGAATGCCTTGAAAAAAGGACACTATGCTAACATACTCCGAAGGAAGACATCTGCTCCTCCGGTAAGATTTCCTGAACTACGGTACGAGTACCTACTAGTGCAATGCTCAGGATCAATCTCTTGCTGAACGAGATCCTCGGAATCCACAGAAAAAATGCTGTGTACAGCTTTGGTTTAGGGTTTAGGTGCCCATCAACCCTCACAAGATAAGTTCAACGGCAAGAATCTTGGAGGTCGTGCCAGCCATCCAGAAACGCAAACCCCAAAGCCCTAAACTCCTACACCCCCGATGAGGCACTGGCGTTAGGCAGTGGGCCTTTGACCAGCAGGGCAGAACAAATCAGAATCGCTACGCTGTCTTGAGCCAAGTTGATGTGAAACACAAAACTGCACACATGACTTTAAGTTATCTTGGGGTTGAGGGATCTGAAAAATGATTGGACTCGGATTTCGGGGGGCACAGTATTTTGTAGTTTGGGATGCTAAACCAATAACATCAGCAAGCCCCCTGCTGAACACCCTAGAGGAAGGTGCGCAGGGTACCGACACGCCCATTACCGGATGCTTATCTGTTCTTAATGTCAGAAGCGTAGAAATGGCTTCATCAAAAGGTAGGGGCCCTGCAAAGACGCCAAAGATGCTAGGTCTGAATGAAAACCCCCAAGAAGAAGGGGTCATAGTTGTGAGACATCCTCGTAGTTTGAAGTGTGCAGAAATGGGCATCAAGATCAGCTGCATGGCAATCTGTGGAAAACGAGATCAGACCTGCAATCGTGCCCAAAACATGTTTCGAGAACACCTGTTTCTCATTCCTGTATTACCTGTGGACTCGCAGGAGCTCAGCATATCTAGGATCACTGTTGAAATCATATACGGTCTAGGGCTCTGAAGGATCTGGAAGGTTCAGGGCGTTGAGGTCAGGGCTCCACTCAGACGTTTCGACAAGAACCAATCCAATCAGGATACCTCCAACCTGCATGAGGCCTGACAATCCCGAAGAAGGCTCGTGGAGCCAGGAAATTGCTCTTAGATGTGGAAGATTTTCAGAGTTTTGACTCTTTTCGTCGGGCACAAAAGTCTGGCTGGCACTCAGCAGTGAAGGAACCCGGATGATTACAGCGTAGGGGGTTCATCGTGTTGCAAAAATGGCTTGATAGATTTGGCTCATTGCACATTGGGAGTCCTGTAAATCCCAGAGGGCTGGGGGACAGCTGGGCATCCTCATTCCACGGCTGAGTCCCTTGGAGGAGTGTTCTCACTCAGGGCTCCTGTGCTGTTGGCTTTACCGTGGGAGCGCAGGAGTAATCATGTGGAACATGTACCTAAAGCAGAGGACCTTGCAAAAAAAATGATTGAAAGAATCTGGTCTAACAAGGGTTCAAGGCTAAAGGTCTAGGATTAAGGGCTCAAGACTTGGGTTTGGAGCACTTAAGTTTGAGGGTCAGTGGTAGGGCTCAAGACTCCAGGAAAGGTGATATAGGATTTGGGACTTAGAGTTCAGGCGGAAGCTGAAAAGACAATCTGAAGAAGCATATCTACATCGATCATTCCCAAAACAAAGGGTTCCTTCTTGGGCATATCTTTACTTGGCACTGTATGGTTTGGGCAATGCAGACCCTGATAACCAGAAAATTCTACATGTTCTTCGATCACATACCAAAGCATCAAATGAAGCGGTGCATGCCTGGACCTCCCTAGAGTAGCTAACCAACTCTCCAGAAGACACAGACGGAATTGCGATTCAGGTCTCCTCTTTTCAAGGTATACGCCTGAAATTATCTCTTCTATGGTGTAGGATTTCTTCCCCAACTATGGAGGTCTTCGAGTTGCGCCCACATGCAGAATCCAGGCATTTGGTCCCATTCGAGAGCTCCGGCACTCCAACTACGGAACCAGTCAACAACCAGCATACGCTTCAACACCTGCTCTGTAGCAACCGGGGCCTCTTGCACGGTCGCGCTGGACAGGCATAGTGACTACTTGCTGACGCGGGGCAAGGACTGCGGAGTACTTTTGAGTCTAGTCGCCTGAAGAATGGTGCTGAGAGTTTGAGCCCTTGCCTGAACAATCCAGTTATATCCGCACAACACTACGATTGACGTATGGCTTTCAGATGTTGACGCATGCACAGTTTTAGGGAAGAACTCAGGAGTAGGGTCCAGGGTTCAGGTTTAATGCTGCCCCGCAGTCCTCACGCGCATCGATAGAACTATCTGTAGGCAAGCGCTGGGTAGAGTCAATGTGAACATCACTATTGCAGTCACTGTGACGTTTCATTGTTTCGCACACTTGTGCTAAGAACACCAGGACACACCACGAAGGTTGTCAAAAAGGAGTTAAACCATGTTTGCATCACAGGAGGGGCAACAGAGAGCACGAAAAAGCATCAGCAGCTGAAAACAAATCACAAAAAAGAACAAAATGCTGCTTGGAGCTGGTGCTGACCATCACCACGCGCTGAACATGGTGCGAATGCTTTCCTATACTGTCAAACCCTGCTACACCATATTAAGACGCCTGGCTCTGACACCACTACGAAGAATGGGCTACACACCGTAGCTCCCGACTACCTGAAGCTCGCAACCTTCTAAGGCCAACTCCCAAATTGCCTAGGCACGTAACCCCAACACAAACCCTGAACATGAAAACATCAGCCTCAGGCCTCACAACGTGTTAGTTCCCATGAAGCCTTGATCACTAGAATACCTTGAAGTTGGAGTTTGATGATGCCTGAAGCTATCATGTACCTGTTCCAGCTACTCCTAAGCCCTGTACAGCCCTGTGCAAAGAACATGCAGTAGGAGACTCTACCATCCGTAAGTGGAACCTAAATAATCCCTTATAAGCCCCATAGACCTTCAAGGTTTGCAAGGGTACAACTTTGTGATAAACACCCAGAGTATGGCAGCAGTGCCGGTGCCAGAACTGGTGCTGGCTGCGGCGGTCGGCCAGGGCTTGCCCAAAAAAGATCTCTGCAGTAAAGTCAAGTGCTCGCTTTGTACGAACGCAAGGGTTGAGGGGTAAATGTTGCAGAGTTTCACAGGGCTGCGAAGGGTTTGTACAAGGCATTGGGACAATAGACCCTAAGCCCTTAATTGGGAAGGGCTTCAAAGTGCTAGGGCAACACACCTTGGTTCTGCCTCCTGGCCTCAAAGGGGACGCAGAGAGGCTGGCCAGGAATTGAGGATTTCCCTTACCATGATCTACCTCTTCATGTTCTAGACCAGTCCATTTTTCGGATGCCCAGACGGGAATAGTGAGGCAGAGAAATCCCGAATCAGAACGGACAGGTTTCGTTCAAGAAGTTGCCACAGGTAGACCACGAAGTATGGAAGAAGTTGCCCAAGACCCCGCAGCAAGAAGAGACCTGACCCACATCGGAAGCTCTGTAACACCAAATTTCTGCTAGGGCTTTTGGAAAAGAACAGAGGCGAGCCGAAGTAGACTCTGGGAGGCTCTCAAAGTTTGAGTCTCCATAATATGAAAAGCCCACAGACAGGGGCTAAGAATGTGTATGAAGCCTTAGAGTAAAATGTTTCGTTTGAAATCAAACCCAGGCACTGTGGATCCGAAGACCACGAACATCCCATTGACCAGGTCTCCAACGGACACACAGCATCCTCCCATACCTCGGCTGCTTCACAGCAGGTTGCTTTCAATAATAACAGTAGTACTAACATTAACAGGAATAGGGGTAAGGTAAACTGCTTGACGTTTGGCTTATGGATCTTGAGCTTAAAGTTTGGGCATATGGGGTCTCGGATTGGGGTCTCAGGGCTCCAAAATTAAATCAGCAAGACACCCACTATTTCGAGGGTTGGAGAGAGCAAGCTGCGATGGATCCTGACAAGAAACGATGACTTGCGGCCCTCCCTTCTGAACATCAACAAGGTATTTGGCATAGTTGATGTCACGGGAACGTCACGGGAAAACCAGGTCCCAGCCAGGAAAAATGCAAATACTAGAAACCCAGCGGGCAGTGATCTGTGCAATTGTTCGATGCAACAAGAAAGTGCTTTGTTTAAAAGCCAGGAAATCACAGCGTTGCCAGGAGATCACAATCTTGAGCAGTGATTTCTCATGCTTGGGGCAAAACAATCCATGTTGCGGGGCAAGTGGCCCGCAGATTTACAAACTCCGGGATTTCCCGCTCGTAAGTAGACTGCTACTCTCTTGTTAAAATATCCGATATCCCGGTTTATATGTCCCGCCAAAATGCATCGGCCAGTAGCATTCCAACAGTGGGAGCACCATCCTCCAGGGAGTTCCAGGTTGAGGGTTCAAGATCATTGTTTGGGACTTGCCTTAAAGGCCAATAGACCATGGCTTCCGGTGATGGGTTTTTCCGTGGTTGTTCAAGTCTATCCGTTCTTTTCAGCAACTTGGCTTTCCACCCCAAAACATGGCTATCCTTCTTCACTGCTGGGAACAGAATGTTCATCTGGTTGCACGGCACACAGGTGTGAAACCTATTTCGATCAATCCTCTGTGCAATCGTCTACATTAGGCTATCACAGAAGCTGCTCTGTACGTTCATGCGAAGGGAACTGCAGAAGTGAGTGGTGCTTTGCAGTGTCTGCTGGCACAACACGACGTGAAGTCCACACAGACTCATTCCAGATGGCCATTCGGGGCTATAGTTGCCCCTAAGGAAAGGCAATGCAGGTTGGACCCCCAGGCCTAAGACACAGCCCAAAACAAAGCCATACCTTCTCCAAAATTGGCGGAACCCCAAAACGAGCTGAAGACTGCTGTCCTTTTACAAAGGAGGAAATGTCCCATTTCAGTTTCAGAGAGTCACGCCTGAGGGACCTTGATATGGATCATGCCGTAATCATACAGCATACTGCCATCCAACTGCTTACCCAAAACCCAAAAGTGCAGCCCCGGGGCCCTCATACCTTGGCCCCAAAACTCTGCAGCACACCGTCCTCCGCAGCCCGGACATCGATGCAGTTGGCCGCCCACAGTCCCGCAGCAGTCTCCAAAGCCTGGTCAGCAAAGTTGCGAACCCGAATTTCAGGGACCGGACTGAGGGACCCCTGCTGCAGGTTGTGCTGCCCTCATGGCTTAAGTGATGTCATGGCCTCTGGGGTCAGACTGGGTCCATGGGGGCTCTCAGCGTGCATTCGGCGATGCATGCAGGTCTTGGACTCGAAGCCACCTCTACAAGTTCCATTGGTTTTTAATCAAGGGCACAGCTGTCCGCGTCTGAGTGCGCTGGCAGAAGGGAGAATAGCCAAGGTACTCTCATATAATGCACATTCGTATGATCCCAACTGTGCTGCCAGCAAAGGAAACCCCAACCTTGATAAAGGACCATACGAAGGCCATACCATCATTACCTAAACGGGGTGAAGCCCCTCACTACTTCACCTGCCAAATCGTCCCAGGCGTTTGATTGAAATACAGACGGTGGGAATTGCCATCGGGACCTGAAGTGGTTCGGGATTTCCTCTATCCAAAGCAAAATCCGACCTGCTTGAAGTTGTCACTCCTAATGCTATTGTTGCACCTGCTGCAGCTGCAGCGCCATCATTACTCTTGAGTGCTTAAGGAAGCCTTCAGGGATATATAATCATAAATAATCATAAATACTGGTGTTTTGGATTCATGGGAGGGGGCATACAAAGGCCTGACCAATTCAATGGAGGACCCAGGCATAATTTATACCGGGAGACAGATAAGGTTTATGGGGGAGTGACGTCAGCAGTCGTTCACGCTGGTACCGTGCCAGATTCCTGTTAACCTATGACGTAGAATGTCAGATGGGGCTTTGTGAAATCTTTGAGGAGCACGTGCCTGCAGCATCGTGTAGACAGAACGAAACACACGCGCGCGAAAGACTTTGTATTTGATCGCACCTGAAAACCTGAACTCGTAAGGTACTGGAGGTCCAACTGGGAGTTGGAAGGTTATCGCTTCGACCACTTCATCCAAAACAGTGAAGCCAGAACCGAAATCCAAACTCAAATGCCCAAGGCGTGGATCCTACAGAACAGTCTATGCATTGCGCTCTGCAATACTTACTCCCTAACAGTTTGCCATGTTCATCAGTATAGTAGATGAGCAAATGGAAACAGCCATAGCCTTGGTTCACTGCAGCGAACATGGAATGGATGCAGCGTCCAGCACTGCCGAAAAGCCGCCTGGGCTAGCAGGAAAATTGCAGGTTTCAGGCTTGTACCGGCTTTAGGCTTCCGGATTTCGCCCTTGCAGTTTTGGCTGTAGTGTTTAGGGTGGGTTTGCGGTTTAAGGCTGTGGACACAGGAACCAGCAACCCGAATCGTGCAGAACAGGGCTTTTCTGCTTCATGGGTAGATATTTGTTATAAATAGCAGGATACATAGGCCCACAAGGTTCAGGGTTGAGGTTTACTATACCCAACGCAACATATGAGCGCGTGCCAAATTGAGTATGTTGTAGTGCAATCGATCGGCATGAGAAGCATTAGGCCATCCCTACTAGATATAACCCAGCTTCGCGATGAAGTCGCCAGCTGATGCGACAGCTTTGCCCAGCATAGCACCAAATTTGAGCCAGCAGGATCCAATGACGCTACCTGCAAGTGCGGGGTTTGAATTTCTTGCTCGCCAGCATCTTGGACGCTGCACAGCACTTCGGCTTGCCCAACGTAATTCAAACCCATTCAGCCCCCAACCCCTGAACTCCAGCACCTCCACCCGCCGCTTGCAGCAAGCGCAGGTGTGGCTTTCTCCTCTGCTCTTCCGTCGACCTGGGTTCAGATGTCTCAGTACAGAAGTAGAAACGCAACACAGAGACCACTGGAATCGACGGCCGCTCCCCTGAATGCCTGTACCATTATGCACCATTGCAAGTTTGAAGAACCCGTCGAGCCAAAAACGGCCTCCTTCAACCCCCAAAACCTAAGATTTGGACTGCTACATCCCAACCCTAAAGACCTAAGACGCCTTCACCCTTGCGCGCATGCGCTCCGTCATTGGACTTCGACTTCCAGCTTATGGTGTCGGGACTTGGGGCATCATTTGAGATTCTGTCTTGGGCTTTGGTTCACGGTTGTAGGGGCTCTGGCTGCTTGATTCGAGAAAGGTGAAGTCTTCCGTTTCGATGGGAGCTGCAATTCCGAATATTGTCAACACACTTCCTCGCAAAGCTGGAAGTGTTATTCTGTCACTCGTGGCTATTGAGCCAGACAAGAGAAAGCAGCCTCTGCACATTAGCGCCCAACACCCTCACAAAAAATCCGGCCAAATGAAGGAGTCGTGACTTTGCTAAACCCTTAATGGCTTGGAACTCAGCACGCAAGCTTTCGGATCCTAGGCCCGGCTGAGATGCGGAAGCACTTTTGAGAGAATCTTAAAAGCAGTCTGCCAGACTGCGAAATCGAGCCGGGGTCTGTGTTGGGGCACAGTTCTGCAAGGGATGGAAAATCTCCTGGCTTCTACATTACTTATGCGAAGTGTACTCGAACTGCCCTCCATAGACCCTTATTCCCTGCAAACAGAACTCCTGAGACATTCAATACTAGGTTGCCCTTTAGACCTAGGGTAGCTACTAGACACGTTAGCAGCTAAATCTGCAACCCTGAACCCCACATCCCTGCAACTCTCAACCTTAAACAAACCTCAAGTGCAAAAGCAGGAATGACGGCCAACGATGTTGCCTCATAATCTTGATGTACCCTCAACGCAGTATATCCTGAGACCCTACTCTATCTTTATTTGTTTAGGCCCATAAAATGCGTCTAGCAGCCAGTCCCACAGCAGCAAGGCAGTGGCCATCAATGCCATCGCTGCGAGGCCTACCTTAGGGCTTGCAGTCCCATTTCAGGTCGCTCTCAGATTAGGGTTTAGGGCTTAGGGCTTTTTGATGCCTTGGGCTAAATGAAGAAGAGGCTACATGACCTGCGTGATTAGGGCGTGCCGTGTTTTCGCATCCATTGAAGCGTACGTAACAGCACCATAAATCACGCTTCAGTTTCTGCCTTCAGGCCCTACGTCTTCAACGCCAAATTCAAAGAAGGCACTCGCCCAAGATTTGACTTGTCACAGAATGCCTACCAGCACACAGGCCCCAGTATGATAGTACGAGTCTGACTACAGAGTGGGACACCACAGTCAAAGCAGATCCACACAACTCAAAGTTGAGTTTTGGTTCCTCAAAACCGCGCACAAGCCTACAACCCTGTCTCTAGATGCCTACACACCACATCCGAAGGCGACTTACAAGGGTGATGTCACATGAATACTTACAGTCCATAGGTTCACCTCTAGGATAAGAGTGTAAGCAACACACGCCGACTGTCAGTACGGCAAACAATCATAGCCCCAGATAGTCAACGTGATTAGTGAAACTTCAAGACTACATATGATATTCTTAAGAGTCGAAGGAAATTGCAACTGCGACCCGGCGATGTTCGCTACGTGGTACTCAGGAACAATCATAGCGATTGTCATGCTCATGGCTGCTACTGCTGCACGTACGCAAGGAATCTGTGTAGGGGCATCCTGCAAGTCCCACATGATTCTGCATGCATGCATGCATGCATGCATACATACATACATCCATGCATACATACATACATATACATATGCATATATACACAAGATGCATTAGACTCTGAAACCATACATACTCCGATAGAATCCAGCGCCCCAATGGTGCCCTGTTCACGGCAGCAAAGAGCGACCCAAGGAGAAAAGTCAAGTTGAAGACACCTTCACTTTAATCCAGACCTGTTGCTGCAAACACCTCCGCTATAATCTCTCTCAATCCTACTCAAAGGCCCTTGAATGGCAAGACCTCAACCTTGAACCCCATACACCAACTCAAATCCGGGGTCGAGTCACGACGCATGCCCCGACGAAGCATCTCGGGCGTTCGTCAGCGGAGGGGGGAACATCCTTCAGCGCGGGCTCGGAGGAACCGAACTCCCCAAATTGGGGTTCAGAGGTTTAGGGTTTAAGTGTGGTTTGCTTAGGTAGGCGGGATGGCCTAGGGTTTGGAGAATAAATTTCCCAAACATGGCTCCCACAAGGACATTCGCGGATTTATTAAAGATCTCGGCAGGAACCGTGCCATGCTTGCGAGAGTATTTGTTTCTCAGGCGACCCCAATATGGGGGCCCAGGGCAAAGCCCTGAATCAGTCAAATCGTCCGACACAGCGGTCTCTGCTTGGCAGTTTCCCGGCCCAAAGACGTCCCTTTCACGGATTGCACAACAGCAGGCCAACAAACTTGTAGACCATGCACACTTACAGCAAAGAAGTCAGGCACCCTGACGCCAGCGCCACATATGACGGCATTCCCGTAAACTGCCCAACCGCACCATCTCCACAAAATTAAGAATCCTTCCTCCTGCACGACCCAATACAAATTTATGGAAAATCCCCTCCGTCCCTGCCCAGAAGAAGAAATCCACAACTTTAAGAAAAAACCAGCCTCCGATGCCTCAAGGTCAGAGGCAATGAAGAGCTCGGCCTCCTTCGGTGTTTAAAGCTCCATTCTCAGAACAGTAGTCTTCAAAAAGGTCCCCTTTTCAGGTTCGATGTTAGTCTGGCAGAGGGTACGCGCAATCAAGAAGAAAGCGTTTTTGTGCTGACCGTGAAGGTCTCTTTGGGCGCATGACATCACATCCAAGAAAGACGTCTTTGACAAAACTAGAATGGTCTTGCGGGCGGCCCGTTTCTGGGGATCCCAACCTGATCATTTGTAGAACCCCTATAGGAGCCTGCGCCTTTCCCGCAGGAGATCTGGCACTGCGCTTCTGCATTTGGGTTTAGGGTTACGGCTTTGGGGTGCAACCTACAAAGTAGCATCAAGCTTCTCGCAAGATTCTTATTTCCAGGACCCCGATCAGTTTGATAAAGCGTCCGCTTGAAGCCGTAATCATACAAACCCTTAATCACAAGGCCTTGCTGTTGCTGCTAGCTTTGGGCCCCTGAGCTTGAAGATCCGGAGATTATCACTAACCTTAGAATCCTTCAGCTCAGCTTCAATTCTTGTTTCAAAGCCCACTTCAAGAGACCTTGTCAAGCCCTGACCTGGCCACAATTTTGATTCTAAGGCAAACATGGTTTTCGGACAAGTGGGCCTTTCACTGTCTTCTTAGGTGACCCATGATTCGAACTGAAGCCGGAAGTCATATGCACGAAGACTGCACTTGTGAAGCTGAACATGAATCGCAAATCAAGCAACCAAGACTGGTGTGAATCCTTAAGCCCTAAGGCCCACGGCCCTGGAACTTAAAATTTCAAGCCTCAACTCCAAACACCACAAGCACTGAGACCAAAACAGTGCGAGGCGGCTTCCTGCAAATAAGGCGCCCTCCTGGACCCTTGAGATATCTGGCAATTAGAACGAGATGAAACGGCTTCCGTCTCAAGATCACCTACGGGCTTATTCCAGGCTTACTTGGGCACAACTTGTGGACTTGCAGCTGCCTCTTCCTTTCTTTGAGACGCCGACATGCTGGCCAGATTGCTTCTCCTCCTTCTTTATTGAGCCCAGGATCTGCAGATCGGGGATGTGAAGCAGAAGTGAGAATCCCATGAACTGCCCATACATTAGTATCGTCTTCTGGTGTATTTATATCATATCATATATCATGATACAATGGGGTTACTTAGGGTGTTGGCGCTTCGCACTTAGATTGTCAGCCGCCTTACTACCGGTTCAGTCTGCGTGGTACTGAAAGACTTTGGCTTGGGCTCTGCCGCTTCACATGCAGGATATGTCGGAACCACCAGCACGTCTGCGCTGCCCGCGGAACCACCCTGCCATTAACCTCTGAACCTTACAAGATCAAGGGCACCCGAAAAACTCTTGCCAGGCAGATAACAGGCAATGCCAAGAAACTGCGTGGACCAGGTTAGGGCCGGTCAGGGCGGGAGTCTGAACCTAGCCTCTAAATTATGAGTGGCGATGAGGAGCCTTCCAAAGCTGCAAGATCCCTACCTTAAAATGCTCTGTCAAAGGTTATGCTTCATTGCTTCCATGGCTTGGAGCTATTAAGAAACGGCCTGGGCTCATGGGTCTAAAGTCTAGATGGCGGGACACGAAACGCACAGTCTTCTGGAGAAGCCGCTGCAACAGGCAACCCATGGCCTCAAACTCAGGAACCTCAATCCCAAACCTTCCAACACCGAAGCCCAAATCCAGACACCCCAACCCCTCCACCGAGTCCCTAGATCTCCATATGATCTTGGTACTTCAGGGTGTACATGGGAAGTTCCAACAACAGGGATGCCCCCTTTCCCCCCCCAACATGCCACGTATAGTATAGTCCTTATGCTGGGGACTCCCAGAACATCCCGATTGCATGTACTAGGCATCAGCCACACCTAAATGGTCTTTTTAAATTCCAGGCCGCTAAGGGCGCTTGGCTGTGGCGATGTCTCAGACAGCAGGCACGCCAGGCGTCCATGGAGGATCATTAGTCTTGGGGCTGGGGATTTTTGATTACAGGGTCTGGTTTTTGGCATTTGTTTCATGTCGCAGCACGTTCAAGGTCCGTTTTCTGAGGCTTCACGGCGGAATCACCTCTTTCTAGTATTTGCCAAGCCTTTTCGTCTGATGTTAAATGCTCTCAATGAATCCATTGTTGGGCCGTTCTAGAAGCAAGTTACTTTTTAAAGCAGGCATGAGTTACGGACCAATAACCCTGCACCATTCAAGGACAAATTGCAGCTTCAGGGCCCCATGGGAAAACATGATGCAGAAAGGACACTAGTCATTCAGATCCATCCATGCTTCTGCGGGAAGTCTGCTGACGCTCTACACCCAAGGATGTATCCAGAGAGGCATGCAAGCTTTAAGTTGTTGGCCGGGCCGATGCTTTGCATCCTAGGCCTGATGCCAGCAGGACAAGTTTAAGTACTGCCCAGAAAAAGAAATTTGTACTAAACAGTTTTTCCCTGAAGCGAGGACTCAAATCCTCCTGTGCAACCTCTCAGCCGCGTCAAGCCACAGCAGCTGAAAGGCGTCTAAAAGTCTAAAGACGCATTTTGGGGGGGCGGGTTGGTTCGAGTATCGGGTAAGGGTGTTCAGCAGCATCTCCACACAAGCCGCCGCTTCACTGCAAGTCAGATGACCTTCTGCCAGAGGCATTACACGGCTTCGATTTGCCTGGCTCGCTTTCAAGGCTATTAAGCTTCATGTTGCATGGGTTCATATGGCGATTCTCAAAAGACAGGGGCTCGGCTGTTCTCCCCCGAATTTTCGTCGAGTTCCAAATATCAGAACCCAAAAGCTCGCATGTGTGCAGGCGTTGAGGTTGTAAAGTTTGATATTTTTCGGCCTCTACAAGAAAAAAAGGCTCGAGGCATCGTCACGTAAAAGCAACACAGAACATCTCTTCAGCAACTGCCCAAAGAGAAGGCAACTTGCTGTAAATAGAAGCCATACTTACCCCTTGACGCATACGGGCTCCAAAAATTCTGAGACAGAGATTGAATCATCAGAGCAAAACGCTGCCCCGCTTCAGGGGAAGTCCGTCTTGCATTTGCCCCAGAAGAGCTCTTGAACGCAAGCACGCTCTGAATGTTGAAGAAATGAGTAATTGTCAAACTTAACGCTCCTTCTCGGACTCACAAACGTGGTTATCTTAGAGAAGCATCGCGCGTGGTACCCCAAAGTGGGCCATGTTGTTCAACTGTCCAACGGGTAGATGAGGGGCCAGCCCGGCGACATTCCATGATTCCTCAAAATCGTGATTACAAACTTTGAAAGAGAACAAAACGTTCCAATGCAAATTCTGTAAGGAGCCCTGTGCTCATCCTGCACATGGGGGCTTCTCAAAATTGAGGCTACTTGGACACCGTGGATACTGGGGATCACAAGGGCGTTCTACAGGCTCCTCCTGGCAACTCCATAGCAGCTCTTTTGAGAAGCTTCTATCCAGAACCCAATACTCAGAACAGCTCAGAACAGCTGAGATACACATGACAAATGTTGTCGTCGCCACTGTCGGCCTTGCTGACCTCATCATGGAGGCATGTTGCAAAGCACTTCCTTCTGAGGGTTCCAGGTCTTCACTTATATACCAAGACCTAGGAGGCGCTTCAGGAGCTCAAATGAAAACATAGCTGAGTCAAGACCCGGCCTCTTTTATCTTGTTGGGGCTTGCGAGTGGGAAAGCTGCGGACAAGCAATGGTAGAACACACACTGACTAAACATGCAGAATCGTGCCCAACAGCCAAACTTAATCAAAAAGATTTCGTTAAGCTGTAAGGAAATTTTCTGACAGCAATCCGGAGACCGGCCGAAGGTCGTGAGATTCTGGCGGTGCAGCCTCACGGAAGCTTTGGGGGCCAGGGTTCGTAGTTTTAGGGTAAACCTCTAGAATGTAGACGATATCATGATATCACAGGAGTCTTGGCTAAAATGCAAGAATTGTATTATCTCTTGATTCAGTGCTTCGGCGTCTAGACTTTAGGAAACATGCCTTGCATGTTGCAGCGATTCTGAGAATCGCATCAACAAGCTTCCCGGCATGAAGCACAAGCAGTCATGCTGCAACTGTAGTTCTGGAGGGCTTTGGCAACAAGAGAGCAAATAGAGCGCTGGCCAGTCATCCCTTCACTTCACACAGTGGCAAGACACGTCGAACCTTCTCCAAACTCGGAGGTACAAGGCCACTTTATGGAAGGGTTGACCTACGAAGCTGCTCTCCCTGCTACGTCAGGCACTTGCCGTATCTAGGATATAACTTTGGAGATATGTAGCGGCCTCGAAGTTCCGGTCAAAGTTTCTGTCGAAATTCCTGTCGAAGTTCCTGTCGAAGTTCCTGTCGAAGTTCCTGTCGAAGTTCCTGTCGAAGTTCCTGTTGAAGTTTCTGGCAACGTTGGCTGCGTCCTCTTCATCTTCTTGCACCCACTGATGCACAATCTTGTCGGCAACACCTGGTTTTGAGGTACACTTCACAATGTAGGGACTGTGCTTTTCGTTGGGCACATAAACTGTTACTTCGAAGTCCTAACCCTCAAGCAAAAAAAGTGGCTACTTTCCGGAACCTGGAGTTTTTCCCTTAATCAGCGTTCCAAAAGAGCCCGTGGTAGCCCTTCTCCAACCCAGTAGTATACATCCCAAGGCTTTTGGTTATACTCGAGCTGGCAGCCCTGGTACCAGCCTAAGAGCTTCTGGATAACATACTGCATAGAAGTCTGTCAGAATAATGAAGGGACCCAAAAAAACGACAGATGAGCTGAGACCCCCCCCCAATGACGACACGTGAACCCAAGTGCGCGGTAATCTTATCGGAGATACTAACAATTGAAAAATGCTCGCAATGACCCTGGGCAACCCATCGTGTGTAACAGCTTATGTGATCCCGCTGCGACTACAACGGACAGCAGGAAGAAAACGGGTCCCTAACATACTTCCTTTCGTGGTCATCATTAAACAGTTACTAAGCGGTTCTTCTTGGCAATGTTGCGCATGCGTGTTACCAATTTGGTTGCAATCCAAACAAACGGCGTCAGTAGCGCAGGCCTCAAGGGCCGTGAGTTGAGGAGGTGGGCATTCTAACTATATCCGCCCAGCCCCAACTGTGGGCGATTGCAACAGCCCACTATTTGGCCTTGCATGATTTTTCAGTTGATGTCGGTGCGTTGCTTCGGCTTTCTTCGGAGATTTACATCGTTCTCTGACTTTTCACTTGACGTCGGTGTGTTGCTTCGGCTTTCTTCGGAGATTTACATCGTTCTCTGATTTTTCACTTGATGTCGGTGTGTTGCTTCCGCTTTCTTCGGAGATTTACATCGTTCTCTGAGGGCAACGAGCGGGGTTTAGGGTCCAGGTCCAGGGATTCCTGTTCAACGTCAAGACTAGGACCAAATCACGGCCCAAAACCAGCCAAGGCACTTGGGCTGCAGCAAAGGACCATGCTGGCCACTGTGCCATAGGCAAGAGCCTGTGCTGTTCATCAGCCACAATCAGAACTGTTTCCATGAATTGAAGTATACCCTCCCGTCCTGCAGCACTCAGCGCTGTTGAGCTTGGCATTTACGGACCACGGCACTATGCAGGGCATGCTCTTGCCAGATATTCAGTCTCTGTGTTGCTTAACCCAATCCACCTGTTTTAAGTTTCTTGTTCCTATTCGCTTTTCTTGTGCGCCTTAAATTAGGAGATCTGTTCCTCCTTCTGTCACCATCCCAATACTAGAATCCATGGCGAGGGCGCTAAAATCCCAAATCTCCAATAAGGACAACGCGCGTGCTGTTTCAACCTCCTGTCAGGCCCCTGCCCACCGGCTCAAATTGAAGGCTTACGGTCCTTACAGTTCTTACTTCATTGAGCTCTTACCTTTGAAAGACGATTAGCTATCAGAGCCAAAAAGGTTCCTTATGAGCTCATCGGCTTGTTTGTGGGCTGGTTGATAATTTGCCCTTGACCAGCTTAAGGCATGCTGTTGATTGATGAAATCTTGCACCACCTAGGAGCCCTGAACTACTGCAATTCCTAGGA